CCGCTGGCTGGCTGCAGGGCCGGGGACGATCCGGCGGGTCAGAGGTCGCCGTTGCGCCCCGACACTCCTCCCGGAAGTGTACCGGGCCACCGAGCCCCAATCCGGCAGCGCCCAATTCATGGTCCCGGTCACCCCAGTTCACGCGGCCATCCCCAGGCTCCTGCCGGAATCCTCCCAACCCACAGCGACCCGCCGCCGGGTCTGCACCCCGAGAGCCTAGCGCACCCCCAGGAATTCCGGAGGCGGCCCGCAGAGGCTTGTCTGTTGAATTGCTAGGGGGTGTGTGCAGACCGGGAGGCTTGCGGGGTCTGCACAAAGTGCTGGCGCCCCCTCGCGGCGGTCTGGGGGATGCACGTGGGATCGGTGGGCCTGGCAGGAGGGTGTTGGCCCCTCTGGGGCGCCTGCTGTAAGGGACCTTCTATTTGGGCCTGTTGCTATTGCTTGGGTGGGGGGCCGGGCGGGGGAAGCACGAATATAAAGGCTTTTGTACAAATTGAGACACTCTAGACAAGAGAATGCATGGACAAGAAAATGCATTTCGCTATCCTTAACACCATCTGTATGCTGGGTATTCAGGACACAGCGGTAAAGTAGCTAGCAGGATGCAAGCTCTGGTAGAGCTTAAAGACTCAAGAGCCCTCCCGCGCCTCTGGCCTGTACCCCAGCTATTGTATAAAAAGAAAGACAACCTTGAAGACTCAAGAGAAATAATTGCACAGGTAAACTGAATTGCATTTGTGACATGTGCCTCTAAGGAAATGCAAAGAGCAAGAATAACTGGAGGATCTCAAACCAGGTGCACTTACTGTAAGGCAGGGAGAGGAGAAGAATATCGCTCTATGTCCAGAACTGCCAGGAGCTCTTACTCATCTTTATATGTTGCTATGTGTGTGAGAGAAGAAAGCACCCTCCTGTACAGGACTGACACACCATATCCTTTATTTCATTTCATCTGCACAGCAATCCTTTTGAACTTAGGGTCACCACCACCCCCCACTTCACCAGGGAGCTACCTAAGTCTCCCTCATAAAATTGCCCACAGCGATGGAGCCCAGATAGTGAGGTAGAGACCAGATCAAGTCTCACGCCGGCATAGTCTCCTTTCTCATCTGGAAGTCTTGAATCCAGCCATCAATAGGACCCAACTCAGCAGCTTTTAAATATAACTAGCACTCCCCAGTGGGGAAGTCTGAGAGATAGGAGACAGAGAATGGCTGGCTTGCCAGTGAAATCCCTTGGAAGCCCCCTTTAATCAGGGCTTTTACAGGACACGTGTGTTATATGACCAAAGGCAAATCATTGCTTGTTATCAGCTCTCCTTTTGGACTTCCCCAAGGCACCGGCTTCTGTCTCTTTTCTTCACTCCTCACTTCCAAGAGCAGGGCTTGGCACATAGTCAGCACTCAGTCAATCTGAAGCTCGTAAATATTGGGCTAAATGGATGAAAACCCAACAACTGATAGCATACCATCTGCTCCCTCTCCGCCCGAACCTTCCCGGAACGCCGTGTCTCTCCTGGGCAAATCTCTGTTAACCAGAACGCGAGGGGCTGAAGGCTCTTTTTCACTGTATGGTCCACATCTCTCAGCTCCCCAGCCAACTTAGTCTTCCATCTTGGCACCTCTCTATGCCAGAACTTAAGCATAGGAGGGGAGAAGACAGTGGCCCTGCCCACTCCCCCCACCAAAAGCCTCAAATCCAGATGTATCTCCAGCCTTGACCATTACCTCCCCCAACTCTTCACCCCAAAATGCGTGCAGCCCAGTCCCAGCTCTTCCACCCCTGTCAAGCTTTGAGGTGACCCTCAAACCACAAACTACAACTTCCAGAGTCCTCCTGAACCAGAAGGGGCGGGACTTCCTGTTTCAGCGCCACCTTAGCTGGTTTCCTCCTGCATTCCTGTGGCCTCCCTGCAGGTGAGAGGCTGCCAGCCAGCACACACCCACAGATTATACCCTGACCAAAGGGGTGTCAGGTTATACACAGTTTCCAGAGCCAACATCCCCACTCCCATGGCCAGCCCTCGTTTTTCTTCCTGAGGATAGAGGACAGTGCCAACCAGGGATTTTCCCGGAACCCCTCCTCTGCCATCTTCTGCCTCCTCCCCCAGGAAATGTCCTGATTTAGCTGTCTGTTAGACTCCTGGTAGTTCTGTCCAGTCGAACTTTCTTCAGGAGATGTTCTATATCTGCATTGTCCAGAATTAGCCACAGATGACTTCTGAGCAATTGAAACATAGCCAGCATGACCAAGGAATTGAATTCCAAACCTTATTCATTTTAATTAATTTAAATCTAAATAGCCACACATGGAGTACTGCTACCTTATTGAAAAGTGTAGCTCTAGAACCCACACCTTCCTTGGCAAAAACCACGTTCTTCATTAATGCATTCTTCATTAATGCATATTTATCCATTTTGTTTCTTCTGTCATTTAGCTGCTTCTTGAGGGTGAAAGTCATTATGTTCTTTGAACTGTTTTCCTCAATGCCAGGCCTTTGGCCAGGCTGTGCCCTCCACCTGCCAGTTGTCTATAACAGCTACCTATCCTTCAGATCCTAGCTTTAACAGCAACTCCTCAGGGAAGTCACCCCTGACTCCATGTGCAGCTGCAGAATCTTCCAATCTTCCACCTCTCCCCACATGAGCACTGACACTGTGTACAGTTGTCCGATTACTACTATGTGTCAGTTTTGAGACTGTGAGCTCCTTGAGAGCAGAGACTACCTAGTACCTGATGTAGAGTTGACAATCAACACTCATGAAATTCAGCGCTGAAGAAATGTTTTCATATAATATGATCCAGTGCCCGTTTCATTGTAATGCTGCCATGAAAGCTACCATTTATTGAAGTAGGTACTTGACCTCTGCAGTCTCATTAAGTCCCACAACAATCCCATAAAGATGTTCTGTTATTATCACCCTTTTACAGCTGGGGGATCTGAAGCTCAGAGAGGTTAAGTGACTTGTTCAAGGTCACACAGCTAACATCTCAGTCTGGGTTCCCTAGAAAACAAGACTTGAGGCAAACCTTATATGCTAATGCTTTATTGGGGATGTCATCCCAACCCAAGATAAATGAAAGGGATTTTGAAGTAGAGAAGAAGGGAAAGCAAGCACAGATATGCCTTACTGGCTTAGCCACAGCTTCTCAAGAAAACATGGCCAGGAGGTCCCTCACTCAGGGTTCCTCTGAGAAGTCATGTGAGACACATCTTTGCAGGGGTGTAAAGGGCAAGAACTTCACCTGCTGGCACCACCCATCTCTTGTCCTCCATGAGTCACTCCGGGCCCCACTGCTTCTTACTTCTGGGTTGTGTTACCTGTGCCTCCAGGCAGCTGTTAGAGAAGCAGTTTCACACACAGAGTTTGATCTAAGTCTGGAAGAAGAGCCAGTGCCCCCTCCCCTGCCAAGGGTCCAGTCAGGCCAGCTTGGACGCTAGCTGGGGTGTTGGGAGATTGGGCCGGGGCTCTGCAGGCCACATTACTGCAGGCTGAGATGGCCAAGTAGCTGCAGCAAGAGACCCAAGCCACGCGCAGTAGGAGGTGACTGGATATTGGATCATGTCCAGTGCTGCCGGGTGGCCAGGAAGGACATAGCTGAGTGCACCTGAGAAGGTGCATTAAACAAGCCTGATAGAGCTAGTAAACATCAGAGCTGGAATTCAGATCCAGTTTGGACTAACTCCAGGGTTCTTCAACAAATACTGACTGAAAGAAGGGTAGGAGGGGAAATGAATAAATGCATGAACTTTCGGAGGGAAAACCCTGGTAATCATCTATTCCAGATGCCATCATGTGATAGGTGGAGAAACTGAGGCCAGAGGGAGTGATGCCCTGCCCTGCCCAAGGCCACAATGAGTGTAGGCAGGAGAGCTGGGACTTAAGCCTCAATCACAGGCTTTACTGGACATTCCTACTTCTGACAGCACCAACTAGTCATGTCAGCGTTTATACAGTGAGATCTCTAGTTCTTACCTGCCCAGCATCTGTTCCCTGTCCTCTGCTAACAGCACCTTGGTTTTCCTTCTAGAAACCACCTTCCCCCATGGTTAGTTATGTAGTTCTACTGAATCTTGTCACATCCCTAGTCTATCCCTAATCTCCAACCCCTAACCCCCAATCCTAGGTCTAGTCAATCAGATCATCCCATTCCCCTGACCACAGTGAATGACTCATGGGTGGGAATGTCACCCAAGGTTGTCCAGTGAAAATTAATCACAGCATAGTTGCAACTACATACAAAGAGCATCTTTCTTTTCCTTGGGTTGCTAAATCTCAAAATGTCAACCTGGAGTTACGGAAGCCAACGTTGTGAGAGAGACTGTACTTGAGAGAGAAGCTAACCCTGCAAAAAAGAGAGCTGAGAAAGAGAGGTCCCAAAGACCTGGACCTTGTTCATCTGGATCCAGCCGTGCCTGAAGCTGTACCATAAAATTTTCAGTTATCTATGCCAATACATTTTTGCATTTCTATTTGAACCAGTGTGAGTTGCACTTCCATCACTTTTTGCAAAAACAAGACAAGCACCTATTCTGGGTCAAGTCCTAATGCTGGATACTGGGGATAAAGATTTATCAGATCCAGTGCCTGTATCTGGAAGTTCACAGCCTGCAGGGAAGATTCTTGGGTTCCAGATAAATAGATAAGCCTGTTTTCTGGACTAGAATTACCAATGGAAAAAAAGGTAGCAAGCACTCTGGCAAGAATAGCAACACCTGGTGTCTAATTGTAATCGGTTAATCCCTATTCATGTGTCTCTCACCCAGGAAACACCAAACCTTCACCCCAGCCTGACGGAGGGCTGGCTTTTCCCTCTTTGCTTAGGACACCCAGCAGCTCAGAGTGAAAGTCTGTCGGTTTAAGGAACTGGGAAAAAACACCCGTATGTACACACCTCAAATCAGCTTATCATGCACCCGGCTTTGTTTGCCAACTTGAATGTTCCTTCGAAGAGAAGAGAAGGAGAACTTCCATGAAGTCACAGATTGTTTAGGCTAGAGCCTAAGCAGAAGAGGCCACATAGGAGGGTCTTGACCTGAAGTGTGGTGAGTCTGCGGAAAGTATGATCTGAGGTCAGGAGGGCAGAGGGAGGGAGGAGCATACTCTCCAGAGGCCATAATGGACTTCAGAGATTCATGAAACTCTGAAATGGCATACAGCATGTGTGGGGGAGGGGCGGGGAAATGAGGTAAGGGAAGGGGAATTCATTTATAGTTTTAATTCATATTTTCAAAAAGAATCCTTTGATATTCCACTGCTCCGGGATATGGTCATCCTTTTGTAGATGAGTGGCTTATTGCTGAGGCTGCTATAATCAAGTGCCATAGACTTATAAACTACAGGAATTTATTTATGTCTCCCAGCCTTTAGTATGGGAAGTTCAAGGTCAAGATGCCAGCAGGTTTGGTGTCTGGTGAGCGCCTGCTTCCTGGTTCAGAGGCAGCTGTCCTATCATTGTGTCCTCATGTGGCAGAGGGGTCAGGAAGCTCTATGGGGTCTCTTACAAGGGCACAGACCCTGTCCCTGAAGCTCCACCCTCAGGACACTAATCACCTTCCAAAGCCCCAACCTCCTCTGGTGCCCCCTGTCTGGAAGTTCACAGCCTGCAGGGAAGATTCTTGGGTTCCAGATTTCATAAGAAATAAAACATAAGAATTCCACACAAACATTCAGTCCATTGCAAGAGAGACACTGAGGCTCAGTGTAAATTATCACATTACATAATTTGTAACAGACTTGTAACAGACCTGGAATAGAACCAGAAATCCAGCTTACTCAGCTGCTCTGCTGGGAGGAGACAAGGAATGCACCCCAGGACCTCCCCTGTCCCTCCTGCCTAGCTTCAGACCTCAGCCAGGACATTACTGGTCCCAGAAGGATGGATCAGTTGCCTGTCCTCTGTGCTTGGCCCCAGCCTCACCCAGGCTTTCCCTTGGTGTGGGGCTTGCCTGTGTGCATCCATTGATGATGGTGCATCTCAAACTTCACTCAGGCTCCATCACACTCAGACACCTGCCCCTCCCCTAGCAAGCCTGCTCCTGCGAAAGCTTCCCCATCTCAGTAATGGCAGCTCCACCCTCCCAGGTGCCAAGGTCAAAAGCTCTGTAGGCAACCTTGCCTCTTGCCTGTCTAGTCCATAAGTGAATCTGATTGGATTGACCTTCCTCATTTCTTCCAGTCTCTCAGGTCTCTTTGCTTGCTCACCAAGGACCTTTGCACCTGCTCCTCCCTTTGCCTGGAGTATTCCTCTGCCGGGATCCACATAACTCCCTCCCTTAGCTCTTTCAGATTCCCACTCAAAGATCACCGCGTCACGAGGCTTTCTCTGAGCATCCCCCAATCACTTGCCATCTCTCTTCCCTGCTTCAGTTTTCTCTATGGCATTTATTACCATGGGCGTTCTTATATGACTTAGTCTCTAGGGCTCGCTAAAGTATAAGCTCTAGGAAAACAGAAGCATTGTCTGTTTTCCTCAGTGCTAAGCCCCAGGCACCTAGAACACTTCCTCGAGCTTAGTACTGAATAGATATACAATAAATATTTGTTGAATGGATGGATCCACCAATTATCCTATCTGGTTCATTCAGCTTGCCCCAAAAGCTCTAAGTTCCTTGAGGGCAAGCGTTGTGTTCTGTTCACTGTTCTATCTACCCATGAGGGTTACGTAGGGCTGGACACATTAACATCGAATGAATGAATGATTAGCCCCTGCAGCTGACAGGTGTGGACTTTGGGGAAGAAAGAGACTTGGGAACACACCAAGGCACTCACAGTGACCTCTAACCCCCTAAACCCCAGCTTTCTGTCTGCCGTGAGGAACCATGACTCCCTGGTGTGATCCACGCCAGAGCAGGTGGGAGGGTTGCAAGCCTTAGCCCTGAGCTGTTCTCGGGTCTCTGACTTTGAATCCAACCCCTTAAGATCACTTGGGTTTAAAGCCCAGAGTCGGGAGTCCAAGTCCCTGAATGTGAAGCCCAGGTCCACCACTGACTTCCAAGACTTGACTCTGACATCTGTAAAATGGGAACTACGATAGCAGCGCCTCCCCTCCAGTGGCCATGAGGCTTAAGTGAAACGAGGCACTGAAAGTGTCTCTGTGGACTTGGTGAGTGCTCGGGGAGTGCCCACTGCCACTCACGGTTAACTGCTGAACTGAAGGGGGAAATAGTCCCTTTCTAGCTTCCTCTAGGTGGATTGCAGCTCCTTGGAACCTGGCCGGATGTGGTTTCGGGTTCTAACGCCTCATTTAGGTTTCTGGGCACCTGGACAGTCTGGGTGATTTTCCCAGGTGACATTGAGCACATTATCTGGAGAACAAAACTCCTTTCAAGGTCAGAAACGCCTGGAGAGCCACTGGGCAGCCAGAGAGAGGCAAAATCACTGGCCTGGGTTGGGTCTGGGCTCCCCAGCTTCCTGGCTGGAATTACACCCCTGGGGAGCCTGCCAACTCCAAAGGAGAGGCTGATTTTGGTGTAGGCAAAAAAGAAAAATTCATCCCCCTTCTCTCGAGGGGCCGCATCTCCCTTGCTGGCTGGCAGCCAGGAGGTTTTTCTAATCCTGGGAATAAAGTCTAAGCAACCTAACTCTGACCTACCTGGGGGGAGGAGAGAGGAGGGAGGAGGAGGGAAGAGGGGAGATGACCTCTGCCCCACCCCCCGTAACACTTAGTGTGTTTTTGTCACCTTGAACCTTCACAACAACCCCCACCCCCATTTTCCAGAGAGGTGAGGTGACCTCCCCAAGGTCATGGTGCCGAAGAGGAGAGAATGTAGCCTTCCTTGTTGGCTTTCTTCTCCCTCACCCAGCGCAGTGACTGAGCGCAATGTACCTTCCCCTGGGATTTCTAATCTGCTTCTACAGATGGAGAAACTGAGGCACGATAGCACAAACAGCAAAGGGCAGTGGAGCAGGCTGGCAAGTGGTAGAGTGACGGGTCATTCTCCAAGCCCAGGATTCCCGCCACATTTAAAGTGCTGGCCCCCTGAGGTTCCCAAAGGGAAAGCCAAGGCTGAAAGGCCGACCCCTGGAAGTCTGCATTACTTCCCTGACTTGGTTGGCAGCTCAGGTCCTTTTGACCCTGGGTGCCCAGCCCTCTGGACCTCACTTCTGGCCATCAGTGACAGTGCTGGCTACTAGTTGGCTCTCTCCGGCCTTGGCCCTATGACCCAAACACCTCTATTATTATTTGGACGACTGCACTTCTTTCTGCACTATTTGCAGAGCAGTTTATTATTTATTATCCCCTGGCGGGCCTCATGGCTCCTTTGACCAGGGGTAGGGGCAGGCCAGGTGCACCCCGGCTGTAGCACATACCTGGGAGGGCGGCATCATAAGCAGGACAGCACAGCTTGAACCCCAGACAGCCTGAGCAGAGGTGCAGACTCAAGTCCCCTTGAGGTTCTTATCTTCTGCAGTCATGGCCGTCACGTCAGTGACTAGGCTGGTGCCAGCAAACAGGGCAACCAGTCTCACACTGAAAAGCAGGAAGAAAATCCCCACACCCCCCACTTCCCATCCTCACTTGACTGTGCAGGTATAAGTGGGGTGCCAGATGCTCAGGAGGCGTTTAAAACCTACCAGCTCCAACAGATGTTCTCCTTGATGTGAAGAGAAGTATTGAAGAATGGAAAGTGAAATAACTCTAGCCTCTGTCATCTGTACGTTTAAGACTGGGCCAATGAAAAATATATAAAATAAAATTTAAAAAATGTAAAAAAAGAGATAGATGAAGCAAATATTACAAAATCTTGTATCTAAGTGATGGGCATATGAAAATTCATTGTGTACCCTTTAAGATGCTGTACTTTATTTTAAAAAAATATTTATTTATTGGGCATCCCCGGTGGCGCAGCGGTTGAGCGCTGGGTTGCGAAGCTGCCCGAAGCCTCGGCAGCGCGGGTTCGATCCCCGGCTGCTCCGTGGCCACAGGAGGAGGGTCCCGCATGGTGCGTAGGCCTCTCCTGCCGCCCGCTGCTCCCCTCAGCAGTGTACTTCGGTCCTTCTGCCTGCTCTGCTCCCCGCTCTGGCTTTAGTGAATTCTCTCGCCCTCCCACGCTTCTGACTGTACCCAGTGCTTGTATAAATAATAAATAAATATTTTATGCATACAAGAGCCGGGGTATAGCCCAGAGATGCAGGGGGTGAGAGGACTCACCAGAGACAGAGTGGGGAACAGAACAGGCAGATCGACAGAAGTACACTGCTGAGGGGAGCAGTGGGTGAGTCAGGAGAGGTCTGCTGTGCCATGTGGGTAGCTCCCTGGCCGGCCGGGGATCAAACTCATGCTGCAGAGGCTGCAGATTGCTTCATAATGCTGTGCTTAACCTCTTGTGCCACCAGGGAGGCCCAAGATGCTGTACTTAAAAAAAAGCTTTTTATAATAATTTTAAAAACAGTCATTACTTTTTGGTTATTTCTTCTGTACTTTCTAATTAGTAAAGTTTAATATTTAATTTAAAAAAAGACTGGGTCAGGCACCTCCTGAATGCCCCCCAAGGACCATCTGAGGCACCATGACATACACATTTTCCATGGCAAGTTCTAGAATAATTATTCTATAGAGGTCTTTGTGATGCCAGGGGTATCATAAACGCTTCTAAAAATGTTATGCTTAGTGCCCAAAGTGGGAAGCAGGATGCAACACATAGGACAATGCCATTTATATATATGAAAAATACACATACAAACAATATTGATTTTGCAAAAATATCTCTAAACAAAAAGATGCACCTTGAATACTTGAAATGGTCCCTGAGTGGTAGGGGTTAACTCACAGACAGCGTGGTTGGTAGAAACAAAGGTTCTCTGTGTGGTTTAGAAAAAGGAGCTCCCTCAATGAATGACTGAATGAAACACTTGAGGGGCCTCATATGGACCAGTGATGATGACATGCAAAGGTCTGTTTCAGCACTAACATTCATTCTAGGATTTGGGCCTTCAAATTCTGGTTATTTGTTAGGGCAAAGCCCCATCTCCACCCAGTTATTAACACCTCCCATTGCATCTGTTGGTCAGAAAAGGGCTGTGGACTGGGATCTAAACACAGGACCAGATGCCTGGCTTGGGGGGGGGGGGGCACCATCTCAGCCCTTTTCTCTCCACTGCTAATCTTGCCCCTCGATCCCCAGGTCACTCACAGTTCCTGATGGTGGGCAGTGTGTGGGCGGCTCTGGAGATCTCCCTGGCCTGCATCTCAGCCCTGGGCCTCATCTCCCCTGCCTGGTTCCAGACCCCTACCTTCTCCTTTGGCATCCTCACCTACTGCTCCTGGCCTCAGGGTGATAGCTGGAACCAGAGTTGTGGGGTCTTCAGGTCCCTGGATGATATTCCTGACTTTGCCTGGAAGGTGAGACCTGGGATCATCCATTCACAGGCTGTTGGGGGTTCAGACCACCAGGGCAGAGAAGCAAGTGCCTGCAGAGTGGGGTTTGTGGGACCTTTCCTCACATCCTGGTGTCTACCAATCTCAGTCTTTTTTTCAAACTAAGCACAAAAATCCTTAAACCTGACAGCTCTAAGGAATCACCTGTGAATTTTGCTGATATGAAGTTCTGCCCACGTCCCCCAGTCTCTGTGAAGGTATGGGGTGAGATCTGGCTATCTGCATTTTAACAAATACCCAGGAAGATTCTGGAGACAGCTGCCAGGCCTAGTAGAGCCTTTGTTCAAATTCGGAAAAGGTGGCACTCCTTCAGGACACCATGCTGCCATCTACTGGAAATTTACTATAACCAATAAGCAAATCTACGATGGTCCCCAAACACATCTCTCAGGATTGTGCAGGGTGCAACCTGCACATGCCTATCTGGCCTACCTATAAGCACTGCCAGGTTGAAAACCACAGTGTAGGTGTTGAGAGTCCCGGTTACGAAGCACATTACCAAATTAATAATGGACACAACAGGTCTGGACTGCAGCTCAGAGGAAGCTTGTACAGGCCTCAATGGATAATTACAAGGGGGCCTGTCTGGCGATCCTGCTGTGTAGAAGCTACTCAGCAAGGCAGGGTATGAAGGTTGTATATCTATATCTTAATTCTGGCTCTATCACATGTTAACTATGTGTCCTAAGCCAAAGGGACACACCTCCTTAGGCAGCAGTTTGCTTACATATGAAACAGGAATGATGGTAGTACAGACCTCCTGGGGTTTCAGGACCCACATATGTCAATAACCAGAACAAGTATACGCCTGCCCTTCTCCCTCTTCCTGCCAGGTCTCAGCTGTGATTCTTCTCGGAGGCTGGTTCCTGTTGGCCTTCAATGCAATTCTCCTCCTGTCCTGGGCCCTGGCCCCCAAAGGGATGTGCCCAAGGAGAGGCAGTGGCCCAATGCCAGGGGTGCAGGCAGCTGCAGGTAAATCCACTGTCACATAATAAACATTCCAGATGTTAATGAAATGAATGAATGAAACAAACTGTGAAAAGAATCTGGTCTTCTGCTTTGAATCTCTGCGATAACCCCTAAGATTACAGACTATCCCTGGTCCTTAGTAAGCCAGATATAGGGAGGATGGAATGATGTCCTATAACAGCACCCTCTCCTGTCCTTAGTCAAACCCAGAGCTAATAGTCTCTCTCCCATTGTTTTTCCCTCATCTATTCATACTGCATCATCTTTTCTGGATCACCATACGGTTGGGCAGGTTGTGCACTGCACAAGAGTGCTGAGCTGAGGGTTCACATGACTATGTTCCACTTGCTGAGCTGTGAAACTGCAGGGCTGCAAATGCCCAGAGCATTGCTTTTTTTTAAATTCATACATAGGCACTAGATGGCATAGCCCAGGCCTTTATTGCAACACTCATTCAATTAATTGCTCACTATCTTTTACCTAGATTTAAGAAACAACCACCTCATGGGTCTTCCTGTTGTCACTCTTGCCTCTTAGAGTCTGTTTGCCACAAGCACTGTTGTAGTGAAATCAGATCATGTCATAGACTGGCTTAGCCACCTTCCTATGATTTCCTGTTATACTCGGAGTAAAATCCAAACTCCTTACCATGGCCAGTGAGGCTCTGCCTGGCCAAACACCCATTCCCTCACTGCCTCCTCTTTTCCCCTTCTACCAAGCTCAACATGCTGCAGCCACACCGCCTTGCTTTCTGTGCTCCTCTCTATCACGCTTGTTCCCTCTGCCTGGAACTCTCTCCTCAGATCTTCATGTGTCTTGCTCTCCCACTTCACTCAGTATTCTGCTCAGATGTCACTTCCTCTGTGGGGACAGCCATGACCACTAGGTAAGGGAGCCTCCCTCTCCTTGAATTCTTTCCTCTGATCTTCCTTATGTTTTTCATGACAGTTACTTGAAATATCTTATCTGCTATTTGATTACCAACACCTAGTACAGGTGCACATAATAGATGCTCATTAAATATGTGTTGACTTAATGGATGCAGATACAGTCTTTGTCATAGGCTTGCACAGTGGCTAGTGGGGGCGGGTGCATCAGGGAGTTATAACTTACTGGATATTTGATATGATGGAGATAAGCATAGGGTGCAAAGAACTACTCCAGGTACCCGGCCCAGTGTGTGGAGGGTGTTAAGGAAGGATTCCTAGAGAAGGTATCACTTAAGATGAGTCAGAATGCTGAGTCTAGGTGCACTATGCTAGATGCTGATGACATTAAGGCAGACATGTCCATGTCCTTGTGGATTTGACTTTCAAGTGGAGAGAGATGGGAGGGCAAGTGGGAGTAAGCCAGATGTGGAAGGGCATTTCAGGTAATGGGAATATCAGAGACCAAGTAATGGAAACAAGAGAGCCAGGCATGTGCAGGCAACTGCAAGTAGACCAGTGTGGTTGAAGAGCAGCAAGAAAAGCTAAGGGCCATCTGATTCTCCTGCATGGGAGTGTCTTGAAGGTAAAGAGGCATCCAGTTCTTTTCACTAGCGTTATTTTGCCCACCATGTCACAGTTTTGATGAGTGAACACATGGATGGATTGGTGGGGTTGGTGAATGGATCAGTGAATAAGGGGTAAGTGGGTGGATGAATGGATGGACGGATGGATGGGCGGAGGGCAGGTGACTGTGAGGAGTGGTTAGATGAACGGTGGAGAGAATGAGTGGATTAGAATATGGCTGAATGAAAATGAGCTGATGGACAGATGAGTGGAAGGTGATTGAGTGATGGGTGGATAAAAGTAATGAAAGAGTCACAAACAGACGAATGCATGAAGAGGCAAGTGGATGGATGAGTGAGTGGGTGTAGGGGTGGGTGGTTGGATCAGTGAGCCTAGGGTGGAGAGTTAGCCCAGTGTCCCTTGAATGACACCCTGGTTTCCTTCTTGCTCTCTAGCCACTGCCATTGTTGTGGGCCTTCTGGTTTTCCCAGTCAGCTTGGCCTCCGCATTCGCCAAGAAAGCCTGTGGAGCCTCTTCCATGTACCACGGTGGGCAGTGTCAGCTGGGCTGGGGCTACGTGACCGCCATCCTCACTGCAGTCCTGGCTAGCCTCCTCCCCATGATAGGCAGGCCCCACAGGACCCATGTCCAGGGCAGGACCATCTTCTTTTCCAGTGACACTGAGAGAATCATCCTAGTGCCAGAAAGGAGCAAATAAAAATTTTCTAGCAGGAGGAAAAAGAGTCCACACTAGAGTTGTATGAAATTACCAAATACCCAGGTTCAAATCCCACCTCTGCTGCTGCCTTAATGTGTGACCACAGGTAAGCGTCGCTGGACCTTGGTGTATTCTTCTGCAAAATGGGTGTGTGTGCCCTGCCTCACAGCGTTGTTAGGGGAGTTAACTTATGACGCTCTGTGTAACTCCTCTCTTAGAGAATTTGAAAATACACTTTCCCATCTAATATTTAGTGAGTGCCCTTTAGGTATAAAAGTTTTCCCAGTGCTGGAGCGGGGGTGGGGAGACAGGAGCTAAGGACCTGCCCCACACTTCCATGCAAATAATCCACTGACACCCACACTGCTCTCTCAGGAAGAGATGCTGGGGTCCACCTACTGCTTTTGCCCATCATAACCCATTGCCTTTCTGTTGTTACATAAATATATAGGGTATATACCAACACCCTAGTCTTCCCTTTGGAAATGATCCTCAGTAACTCTTGGCTAGCCCAAACTTTTAAGCACAAATGAGCCTTTCTAGTCAATCAAGCATGATTGAAACTATGGGTCCAGAGATGGGCATGGGCCTGTGGAGCCAGCGTGCAGAAGTGGGACCATGAGATGCACAGAGATGGAGTCTAAGGACTTCATTTGAACACCTGGATACAGCAAGGCCTGCTCCCCTGCCTGCAGGAAACAATCACAGCCAGGTTAGTATCCCCCCTAGCCTGGCTGCCTCAGAAGAGTGAACTTCTTTCTTGGTATATACACATCTTGAGGACTCTGATTGGCCAGGACTGGGTCCTTGTCCATCCTCCGGGGTGAAAGGCATGCCAGCAGTCTCACCGGAAGACCACAGTTGAGTGGAGGCAGTATAATTGCCTAGAACTATACCCTTCCTGGCACCAGATGAGTGTCTCCCATTGAAAGGCAGGGTCTATCGCCCACTCTTTGAATCTGAGTTTGACCATGTGATTTTCTCTGATGAAGAGAACATGGCAGTAATGACTTTCTGCCTGCTCCAAGCCTCGGTCTCAAGAGGCTTTGCACACTTCCATCTGCTCTCCCAGAAGCTGCCGCATGGCCATGTGAATGAGCTGGAGCCAGGCTGCTGGAGGATGAGAGACATAAGGCCCAGCTTCCCCAGTGCCCGAGCCCACAGCCATTCCATGTCCAGAAGCAGGGCAGCCTACCTGGCCATCAGCTGAGCTCTGAGACATGAAGATGGATGGCTGAGACCAGAAGAACCCACAGGGCCGGAGGCTGTGGAGATGATTACCTAAAGTCACCAGGTCTGGGGTGGCCCAGAACACAGCATCACTCACGGTGACAAAGGATTCTCCTTGACCCTTCAGGCAGCATAAGAATCTGTCCCCCCTGGGTAAGGGCCACTGGGGTGGTGGTGGGAAGAGACAGTCTTCAGAATATTCCTTTGTTTCTTTAAAAAAAAATACCCCCAAAGAACCAAAAAGTGAGCCAGATTCACACATCTCTGTTTATATATATTTTCTCTGTATATAGACACAACTCTTTAGTAAACAGTGACAAGGTATGTTGGCAACACTGAGAAAAGGAGGGCTGGCACTTCACGGACAGAACCACCCCACGGTTCAGTCCCAGGGCACAAGGACACACGCCACGTACGGGGACCTGGATAAGCACGGAAAGTCGAATAAACACGAGCCACTCCACACGGCAGCCGTGGACGCGCGTCTGGAACACCGAGGGCACGGGGAGAGGGATCTTGTGCTGTGCTTTGTCACCAGTCTCAAAAAAATAAATAAGAATCAGAAGCTCCGGGACCTGGGTCTGGCTAACATAACTCCCTCTGCAGTGGACTACTGGGTGGCAAAATGAACTTCTTTCAGAGGAGCCTGTCACACATTTCCCCCCACTGGGGAAGCTGGGGTTCAGGGCACGGACAGTTCACAGCAGGGGCGTCGGGGCCTGGCCCATCCTGCCTGGAGGCCCGACTAGGGCAGAGGGTGCAGTTCAGATGCAGGTGGAGGCACAGGGGAGCACAGGGGCAGGCGCCTCTCCCTGGCCTGGCTGGCTCAGATCCCCAGGATACCCGCTCTGTGAATACTTCACGGCGCTTCATGAGCCCCCTCCTCGCTCCAGAACCCTAACTGCTGTTCTTGGCCAGAGCATTCCTCCCCGACTCTCACCTTTTTCCCCATCCCCTGCCTTCTCAGGATAGAGGAGTTGGCAGGATGGCCCTATGGGGGGCACCACAGGTGACCTAGCTAACTGGGGCTTCGTTGTGGGTTGATGACCCCTGGTGTGAAGATGTGGAGGGGAGCATTTCCAGACCTAGCCGGTAACCAAGGAAAACACACACTATCACCACCCCAGCCAACCCTTGACCTCCTTCTCTTCCTTTGTCCTGAGGGAGCAAAGGCACTTAGGGAAAAGTCGGCCTCCTTGACCAAGCAGCTCCCACTAGCACACACCTCCAGCGCCGCCACACCAACCCCAGGTGTACAAGGAGAGGGAAGCTTCCTAGGAAGAGGGGAAGGGGTGCAGAATCTGCCAGGCCCGGGGCTCTGAGCAGGACCCTGAGGAGCTGTCTCCAGCCTGTAAACACTCCCTGGGTTCCATCGCCTTTGCCAGGAGACACTTTACTTTAAAATAAAGGTATGGCCTGGGGTCAGGTGGAGGAGAAAAATTGAGAACACAACAAATGGAATCCCCGGCCCCAGAGAAGGCACAGGACTCCCCTGTGCCTTTTCTGAATGCGTGGAAGCCTCGAGAAAAGCAGTGGCTTAGGTAAAAGTGGGGGGGATGCCTGGGGAACCCCTCCTCTAAGCCAGTGCTTCTCAAATGGGGCAATTCTGTCCCATAGGGAACATCTGGTACTGCCTAGAGACATCTTAGGTTGTCACAACTGGGGCAGGGAGGATGGTGCTACTGGCATCTAGTGGGTAGAGGCCAGGGATGCTGCTCAACATCCCTCAGTGCACAGGATGCCACCCACCCCAAATACTGAGTGCAGAAACCCTGCTGCAAACTGATCCTGCTGCAAACTGCTCTGGAACATCTCCAAGCCCCCTTTCAGAGCATGGAGGTAGCCCCACAGATCTCCCCTCCACCAATTCCCCCCAAAATTCCCTCCCCACATCTCAAATTCACCCCATTTGGAGGGATGGGGTAGAGGAGAGGAGAGCATTCTGCAGACCATGTGCAATGACCTTCCCTCCTGTCCATCAAGAACCCCCAACTCCTACAAGGGAGAAATCCCAGGCTGGGGCGATCTTTGGTCAAGCAGGAAAACATAAGGCTGAACTGAAGGGGCAACCCCACACCCCATCTGCCTGATGGTGAGAGGTGGGCAGTCTCCCTGTGCACAGAAGCCCACACTTGTGAACAAACACCGGAGCCTCTCCCAGGGCCGGGAGGACAAGCGCGCACCAGGGCAGGTGGCGGCTGGGCTGACGCCGCCTGGGTGCGCAGGGCCTCACTTGTTTTCTATCAGAGTCTGCACCTTGTACACGAGGTCCCGGGCCAGCTTCAGGACCTGCTTGGTGTTGTGTCGTTCGGCCATTTCTGAAAGAGCAAAAGGCAAGACTTCATGAGCCCCCTTCGGTGTCCACCCTCAGGATACCCTCAGGGACCCTTCCAGCCCCCTACCCTGGGGGCAGGTACGTGTGTGTCTGGGGCATCCGCATCACAGGGTGGCTCTAGAAGCTGACCCCCAGGGGAAAGACCTACACCTCCTGACCTCAGTTTACCCTTTTATAAAATGGGGCTTGCAACAGTACCAAGTTCACAAGGAAACAGGTACTATGAGATCAGATAAGATGATATTGTGCATGCTTAAAAAATGCTAGGTCTTCCCATCCCTCGCCCACAAATTCAGTGGCTAGCAATCTTCCAAGAAAGCAATACACATAGTAGGTGCTTAAAGGGATGATGGAAGGAAGCAACAGAAAGAGAGGGGAAGGGAGGGGAAAGGAGGAGAGAAAGCAAAAACCATTTCATCAAGAACCACACAAAATGATCAGATCTTTAAAGCAGAATAATCTTAAACCTAGACATTTATCAGCAAGAAATCATTTAGTAGAGAAAAGAGGCATGAGGCCGCGGTCCCTGAACTCGGTGCCACGGTACCCAGAGAATCACTGTGAACTCAGAAATTTTGAGGGAAACAGCGATGCGCCAGAGAAACTGCCAGCACAAGCGAGTCCACAAACTGTGCTGAGTTCCTGTCAACAACTCTATCTTTAAAAGCTATGTTTTCAAAAACTGTAATTAAAAAATGAATAAAAACTACGTTTCCAGCAGGAGGTTGCTGTGATGAAAAGCAAGAGCCATGTGAAAAGTCAGTGCAACAGGCGGTGGAGGCGGGGCCTCCAGTCTGATTCCTAAGTTTGAGAAGCTATGCAAAGCAGACAGGTGCACGCGCCCCACTAGCATCTGCACTTGTTTTAAAATGAAAGAAATATTTTCTTTCAATGTATCTGTATTTTTTTTTCAAATGGCTAAGTTGTTAGGATATAAATATTTATTAAGTGGTTTGGACCTAAACACTTGCAACTGATGGCTACAGCCACTGTGTGCAATTTGTAGCCTATGTGTGTGTGCGTGTGTGTGTGTGTGTGAACATTTTAGAGCCACCAGGGGCGCTGTGCACTGAGGAGGTGGAGGACACGGTGAAGGCAGGCCCTGCTTTGGTTCTTCATAACGGCCTCCACCTGAAAACCCAGATGCCAACAGGAAGGGTGAGTCAGTAAGTTACAGTCACATGAGGTATGATCTGCAGCCTTAAAAAAGATTACATGGAAGGCAGTTTTAAAATTATGAAGTGGAAAAAACCCAGATATGACAGGATTCTGTGACAGGAACAACCTAATAAATACACACATATCTCTATGACTATGGAAAAGAATGGCTGAAAAAGTTTTTTAATGAACCACTAAATGCAATGTGATTTCCTGGAGTGGATTCTAGAGCAGAAAAAGGATATTGTTAAAAAAAACAGGTGAAATAAAAAAATCTATAGTGTAGTCAATAGTGATGTACCCATGTTAATTTTTTCAGTTGTGACAAATGTACTATATTAACAGGCACTATATTAACACCAGGGGGAGCTGGGGGAAGTGTGTCAGGAACTCTGTACTGTCTTTGCAACTTTCCTGTAGCACAGATATAATTATTCCAAAATAAAAAACTTGTTAAAAAAATCTAATGTTTCCAGAATGAGGTCACAGCTTGATTTTCTCTTCTTTTGGTTTTTTCAATACCACCTTTGGTTTTTTAAAATTTTTGAGTAGTGATAATAGTAGCTAAAGTGACCCAGGTACCAGGTGATGGGCTTTATCCCTCTCATCTTGGTTAATCCTCTGGATGTCTCTGTGAGGAGCTGTTAGCACCACTTTATCCTCTAGGAATCTGAAGCCCAGAGACAAGAAGTCACTCACCCAAGGTCATCAGCCCCCAAGCAGTAGATCCAAACCCAATTCTGTCTGATTTCCAAGACTGCCTTTTTCATGCTACTTCAGTTGTCATGCTGTGCGGGCTTTTCCTGTGCATATCAACACTATTACCCCACTTCAGAGATGAGGAAGGTCAAGCCTGGTAGAAAGTAACTTGTCTGTGGGCACAGCAGTTAGTGGCAGAGCCAGGGTTTGCCCCCGAGACTGATTTCACTACCACATTCCTCCTGCCGGATTCTTGAGAACACATGCTCAGTCTTACAAGATATCAACTCATCCATTTGGAAATAGCCACAAAGGTGGGCAGATCCCTTCACTGTCCCCTGCACTGTGTGAGAGTAAATCTCAGTGAACCTCCGTCCCTCCCAAGGCCCCAGAAGGGAGCCCTCCAGAAGGCCACACCCCTTAGATAAGACCCTAGTCACATAATACCATTAAAGAATTTGATGATGTCTGTGAAATCCATGTTGTTCTCCAAGATGATGTCACGGTAGACCTCCACCAGTGCCAGGGCGATGAACAGGACATAGTGGGCGGACGAGACATGTTTCGCTGCCCAGATGGTCTCCCAGACAGAGAAGACATCATCATACACGAGTTCTGCCAAGACAGGCACACGTACGGGGAAGGAGTCAGCCACAGAGCTCACGCTGCTGCCTCCCTCTGGGAAAACCCAGGCAGCTGAGCTCTGGGCTTCTGCCTGAGGGCAGTGCCCAGAGCTCAGACCACCAGCCAGGAGACCTGAACTCTGTCACTGGACCATCAGAAGTTATCAATTTTCCCCATCTGTAGGTTATGTAAACCAGGTGCATTGTAAGTTTCCAGCTGCGACTTTCTGTAGGTAAAGGAACTAAACATGTGTAATTGACACTGACTTGTCCGTGCCCTGTCCCTTGATGGCATCCCCTTCTCTTTCTGAACCCTCCATCTCCTTTAGAGCCTAACAGGGCATTCTCTCCTACCCCCTGTACACAGGTAGAGCTGCTTGCTGCTCCTGGGCCTAGTAGATATAGAACAGAGCAATGGCTTCCTATGTCCAATGAACACAGCTTGAATCTCAACTCATTGCTTGGCTAATTTTTAATTTCCCTCCATGAGCCTCTCTATTTCCTCATCTGCAAAGTGGGGTGATGCTGATACTAGTAATGGACTGAAGAGTTAATGCACAGAAATGGCTCAGCACAGTGCCTGGCACTTAATAAACACCTCCACAAAGGTTAGATATTATCAGCATCACCCCAAATTTGCACAATAGCAACATGCTGTGTTACACATCATCTCTGAGTCATGTGTACAACATGCTTTATGGGCTTCAAGGTTGTTTTTTCTGATAAGCAGTTTAATAAAATGGAAAACACTGGGCATAGGAGGTGAATAGAGGTGGGCTCAGATTCTGGCTCACTATTCCTAGCTCAGAATTGAATTACTCTCAGCCCTAGTTTTGAGGGTTGAAACAACATTTACTGCACAGTAACCCAATAATCAGCACTCAATAAATGGGGGTTACCTCTTTCACTGGCTTTCTTCCAACACCCCCCAACCCCAGCTCCATGATATCTTTTCCACTTAGGTTCTACAAGAGCCAAGAGACAAGGCTCCAGTTAGATGCTGGTACCTCGTTTGAAATCCAGCAGGAACCAGCGGTAGCAGAAGTAGAAATGAGTGTAGTCCCCATTCTGATGCATCAGTTCAAAGAGCTCAGAGTCCAGGATCTGTTGCAGGAAGAGAAGACACATTTTACCCTCCTGGGACAAGGCTGGGCCAGAGAGGACGGCTGAGTAAATGATGGCACATCCCCATATCAGACAACACACCACCGCTTAACAATCAGGCAGTGTTAAAAAAAAAAAAACAGGAGAAGTATTCAAAGTGAAAATCAACCTATCTCAACCTAACCCAGTCATTCCTCCAAAGAAGATATGAAAATAAATGTCCAATAAGCATCTAAGAAACATTCATCATTAGTCATTAGCAAAATACAATGTCAATTTGAAAACCACAGTGAAATACCACTTACACCTACTAGGACGGCTATAATAAAAAACAATAAAAGACAACAAAATATTGGCAAGGAGGCAGAGAAATTAGAACTTTCCTATGTTGCCGGTAGGAATGTACAATGGTGAAGCTCTAAGTCCCATTCTAGGTGTATTTCCAAGAGAAAATACATAAAACTGATATAAGAATGTCCATATACAAACTGATAGAAGAATGTGCCCAGCAGCATTATTAAATAGCCAAGAGGTGGAAACAACCCAAATGTCCATCAATGGGTGAATGGATAAAGTATATCCTTGCAAAGGAATATTATTCAGCAATAAAAAGGAATGACATACCGATACATGCTATCACATGGATGAACCTTGAAAACATTATGCTAAGTGAAAGAAGCCAGACACAAAAGGGCCACATACTGTATGATGCCATTTATATGAAATGTCCAGAATAGGTAAATCTATAGAGACAGAAAGTAGATTAGTGGTGGCCAGGGGCTGGGGAGAGGGTAACCACAGTGAGTAGACAGTGAATATGGGGCTTCTTTTAGGGATAATGAAAATGCTCTGAAAATAGATAGTGATGATGGTTTTACAACTTTGAATATTCTAAAAACCATTGACTTAGTAACATTTTAAAAGAATAAATTCTATGGCACATAAATTATATCTCAATAATGGGGTGTGTGTTTGTGTGTGTGTGTGTGTGTGTGTAATAGAGCTAAACATTACTTTGAGGAAAAGGACTGATATAATCAAATATACTCTTAAGAGTGATGGCTGTATCTTGTTCATGATCAGTGTCTGGACTGATAAATACTCAGTGAGAACAAATCTAATGGAGTTAATTTGAGTGCTGAGTTGAGGTTGAGTCAAATTGAGTTTTATAGTTTTGTTTTCTAGTTCAATTCAGTATTGAGTTGAATTGAGTTTTTGAGTTCAACTGGGTTGGGCTGAGTTGGGTGAACGGAATTGAGTTAAGCAGGATTGATTTATTGAGCTAAATTAAATTCAGGCTGACTATGGAGTTGACCTAAGGTCTGTTGGGCTGAGCTGGAATAGTTGTAATATTGCAGAAGAGCAGATCATACCTGGATTAGTGACCTCATGTTGGCAAAGTGTGTGTCCATGGCTCCTCCGTGGGGGAAGTTCTGGTTCATTCTCTTCATGAGCTCTGTGAAGCAGCTGAAGGCAATGGCCTCTGGGGAAAGAGCACAGGAGAAATGTCAACTCTGCCTCTACTTTTCAAGGAACTAGAGCTTCCAAATGGTGGTATAAAGCCCTGAACTGGTTCACCAAGTCACAGCCAAATGAGAAACACAGACAATGGAATGACTGTCACTGCACTCTGTATCAGGGGATGCACTCCAATCTTAAATTAAATAACACCTTCCAACCTATAGATGTCAAAATTGGCTTTCTTTTAGGAAGTGATGGTGACAATAGATACTTGTTTAGATATTTCTATTTGCTATAACACACAATGTTTTGCTTTTCCAAACTTTTTTTTTTAAATTCTACTGTTTTATAAAATTCTCAAGTCTAGAAACCCCTGTATTCCAGCAGCAATTGTTAATGGTGGAAGGGTATTTATAGGCATTGTACAAAGAAAGGGTCAAATACTGTGAAATGCTGCTTAGAGTAACTGCATATATTAAGTAAAGGCTCTGAGAAGTCCTGCAATTTAGAAACCTGCTTCATAATTGTTTAACTCAGTGTTTAAAAGTTTTGGCAGTAACTTTAGGGAAAGTTACACTAGACCCAAGGCATGGTGGGATCGGATTCATCTTTTAAAGTCTATTTTTCAGATCAGTTTAAATATACAGAAAATTGAGAAGGGATCAGAGTTTCCATAGACTCCACAATCACTTTCCCCCACAATTAACATCTTACATGAGTATGGTACATGTGTTAAAATTAATGGCCCAGTGATGGTACATTATACCTAAAGTTCATAGCTTTCTTTTTTAAAGATTTATTTATTCATACAAGAGCTGGGGTACAGGCCAGAGATGCGGGGGGTAAGAGGATTCACCAGAGACAGAGTGAGGAACAGAACAGGCACATTGACCAAAGTACACTGCTGAGGGGAGCAGCGGGCACGACAGGAGAGGTCTGCTGCACCATGTGGATTTCTCCCTGGCCGGCCAGGGATCGAACTCATGCTGCTGCAGAGGCTGTGGATTGCTTCATAGTGTGGTGCTTAACCCCTTGCGCCACCAGGAAAGCCCCCCCCCCTTTTTTTTTAAACCTAATGTCCTTTTCATGTTCCAAGAACCCATCCAGGAACACACAACACATACAATTGTCCCCCCTAAGACTTTGTGTGGCTATGACACTTTCTCAGGTTTTCCTGGTTTCTAATGATCCAGACTGTTGAGGATACCTATCAGGTGTTCCACAGGATGCCTCTATTGGAGTGTGTCAGATGTTTTCTCATGACAAGATTGGGATTCGGAGTTACTGGGAGACTACACAGGTAACATGCCATGCTAACCACATGATATAAAGGTATATACTACCAACGTGATTTATAACTGCTGAACGCTATCCTGGTCACTGGGTTGAGGCAGTTAGTGAGGCTTCTTCCCCGTATAGTTTCTCTCATACCCCACCCTCTTCGACACTGGATTTTTCACAAGGAAGTCACTATGCACAGCCCATATCAACTCTGTCTAAAGAGTAGGGATTTAGGGCCTCCCTGGTGGTGCAAGGGTTAAGACGCAAACTATGAAGCTATCCACAGCCACTGCAGCACAAGTTCAATTCCTGGCTTGTACCTCTGTGCCTCTGGCTTGTACCCCAGCTCTTGTATGCATAAATAAATAAATATTTAAAAAAAAAGAGTAGGGATTTATGTTTTCTAGATTTTTTAGCAGCCTCATCGAGATTCCCATACCTCTAGATTCACCTTTTAAATGTACAATTCAGTGATTTTCGTATATTCACAGAGTTGTGTAACCATCATCATTGCCTAATTTCAGAATATTTTCATTACCCCTCCCCAAAGAAACCTTATACACAGCAGAGTCATATCCCTTTCCCTGCCCCCTGATGCAGTCCCTGTCAATCACTAGTCTATTTCCTGTCATTATAGATTTCCCTATTTTGGACACATAAGTGGAATCACACATGGGTGGTATCTGGCTTCTTTCACTTAGTATAGTGTTATCAAGGTTCATCAACAATGCAGCATGACAGCATGTATTAGTCCATTCTTTTACTTTTCTTCCAAAGAATATTCAATTGTATAGATCATACTTTGTGCATTCATCGTTTGATGAAGACTTGGGTTGTCTCCACTTTTTGGCTGTTATGAATAAAGCTACTGTGCACATTCATATACAAGTGTTTTATGAACATATGTTTTGGTCCTCTTAGGAATATAGCTATGAATGGAATTGCTGGGTCATATGGTAACTCTGCTTGACATTACGCAGAACTGTCAAACTATTTTCCATAGTGTCTCGTTATTTTCCATTGTTTTGATTCTAGCCATCTTGTGGGTGTGAAGTGGTATCTCATTGTGGTTTTAATTTGCATTTCCCTAATGACTAAAGATGTTGAGCATCTTTTCATGTGTTTATTGCCTATGTGTCTATCTTCTGTTAAGAAACACTATCCAAATCTTTTGCCTATTTTTAAATGTGTTATTTATATTATTGATTTGCAAGAGTTCTTTATCTTTATATATTTTGAATATAAGTCTCATTATGTATTTATTTATTTTTTTAAAGATTTATTTGTTTATTTATTTATACAAGCACTGGGTACAGTCAGCAGCGCAGGAGGGTGAGAGAATTCACCAGAGCCAGAGCAGGGAGCAGAGCAGGCAGAAGGACCAAAGTACACTGCTGAGGGGAGCAGCGGGCGGCAGGAGAGGTCTGCGCGCCATGTGGGACCCTCCTCCAGTGGCCGGGGAGCAGCCGGGGATCGAACCGGCGCCACAGAAGCCGCGGGCAGCTTCGCAACCCAAAGCTCAACCGCTGCACCACCGGGGAGGCCCAGTCTCATTATGTATTTAGCTTGCAAATATTTTCTTCCGTTCTTTAGGTTCTCTTCAATTTCTTGATGGTGTCCTTTGAGGAAGACTGATGAAATACACTGCTGAGGGCAGCAGCGGGTGCGGCAGGAAAGGTCTGCAGCGCCATGTGGGACCCTTGCCACCTAGCCGGGATCGAACTGGTGCTGCAGAGGCTGCGGACAGCTTCACAGAGCTGCGCTCAACTGCCTGCGCCACCAGGGGAGGCCCTAGCTCTTTCATTTCTTCCAACAATTTTTTTTGTAGTTTTTGATATACAAATCTTACACTGGGAACTTGATATATCACAGGGGTCTTCTAAGCACCTGTACTGGCCCTCTGTAGACCCACAAAGTAAGACTAACCCCCATCCTTGAAGTGGGAACAAACTGCACTCCCCGCCCTGGGGTGAGGAGGACATACGCACCATCATCTAGAATGACCAGCAGTGGGGCCAGCAGGTCACACATGCCCTGGACATAACCGATCTCAATGTGCTGCCAGATGTAGCTACAAGAGAGACACAAGAGTCCAGTGATGGCACCCATTACCTGTCTCTCCAACCCTCTTCTTTCTCCCCCCAACCCTGGCTCAGCCCTCCATTGCTCCCCCACACCACTCCCTCAAGCTCCCACCTGTATCCCTGTCCCCAGTCTCACTCTCTTCAAACATCTTATGCTCAGCCACCAGCATGACCTTCCAAAAGCCCAGCACAAGGAGGCTACTTCATGCCCAAAAACCTTCACAGGCTCCCCAAGGCATAACAGGACAATGTCCAAACTCCTCAACTCCCAATCCATCTTCACAGTCTCCTACATCGCTTCTCAGTATTTCTTCTTCTCCAACCACACTGAGGCAGTCACCTTTGTACAAGTACAGTGCACATTTAGGCCCCTGTGCCTTTGAGCAGTTCCCTTCTAGAATGCCCATCTACCCCTTAATAATATTTACTGTATACTCAGCCCACTATACATGCATTATGTTATTTGATTCCCAAAATAATCATATGAAAAAGGTACTATTATTATTCCATTTCAAAGATGAGGACACTGAGGCAGAGAGAGATAAATGGTATATTGAATAATAAGTGGCAGATGTAGGGTTTAAACACAAGTGGCCTCACCCCAGGGTATGTGTTCCTAACCTATAAGGCAAATGGTTTCTTCAGTGTCTCCTAATTTTGTCAAAGTCCATCTCTGTGAGGTCTTCCACAATTTCTCTCAATGCCATAACCAAGCAAAAATCAATCTATCTTTCCTTCTTCCTCAGCAGTTTTTCACTTCAATGTAAAACACTACAGTAACACTAATTATATTTGTATTCCTTACACTAAATTTTGAGAGCCAGCAATTGCTTGTGAGAATGTAAGACAGACAGTTAAGAGAGAGCACTTATCAATAAGATTGCATTAGAGTAGGGGTTGGCAAGCATTTCCTGAAAGGTCCAGATAATAATTACTTTCAGTTTTATAAGCCATATGTTCTGTGCCAATTATTCAACTCTGCAGAAACAATCACAGGCAATATGCAAAAAAAAATGGGCATGACTGCAGTCTAATAAAATTTTATTTACAAAAACAGGTAGCGGGATGGACTTGGCCTATGAGCTACAATAGCAGTTTGCAAGCCTGAGTTAGAATAGCATGTTAAGAAGTATAGGATGTATTACTGAGTGTAAAAAGCAGACTGCAGAAAATGTTTACAATATAATCCCATGTTGGTAGACATTTTTAAAAAATTGAAAATGTGTGCATTCATGATACATTACAGAATATATTATATAATATACTCTATTACACACCATTATATATATGCATGTATATATGGCAGGTGCAGAGTTTGAATTCAGGCGGTCACACCCTGGGTACGTGTGCCTCACCTGCATGCCAAATGTGTCTATGTACACATACATACGGCTTTGAAGGATGCTCACTAAACTGTTAGCAGGCATTACTTCTTTTGAGTGAGAGACACTGATGATGGAAAATGAAAGAAGTTTCTCTTTATACCTTATGAACTTCTGATTTCTTTGGTTAAGGTTTTTAATAACCATAGGTTATTTTTATAGTTTAAGAAATAACAATAATAACTTTTTAATGAAAAGTGGTAAATAACCCCAGATCTTGGCTTAAAGAAATAAAGCACAGATTCTAGAGCTCGAATGACATGAGTATGAATTCCTGCTCAGCCACTGTTCAGCTGGGCGACTTTGATGAAAGTGTTACCCTATTGAGCCTCCAATGCCTCACCAATGTAAGAGGAGACAATATGATCCTCATAGGCTTGTTATAATGTCTAAGAGAGATGATGTTAGTAAAAGGCTCAGGATAGTGCCTGGTGTATAGTAAACATTCAATGAATGTTCATTATTATTAACATTATTATAATTGCTATTTTATTGTCAGTGTAATCTGGAATAAGATTCCAGGTGGGCATGGTGTAAGCTCCCAGCAGCCCCCACCTCTGCCATGACCTTACACTGATTCCCTATAGACACACCCTCCCACCCTTGCTCCAGCCACCTGCACATGATGTTGCGTAGCTTCTCCAGGTTGGCAGGTGTGAAGTACCAGTAGTTGCGGTCACACCTCTGCACGTCCTTCTCAATACGGTGCAGGTTCACCGTGTACAGGTCCAGCAGTTCTGGCTATGGGCCCCAGGAGGTGAGAAAAGAACAGTTACATCCAACCCCTTACAGTGATCATCTTCCAGAGCTTCTTTCTCTTCCCCTTAGCCCTCTCTTGTCATCACTGAAAAGCATGCCCTCTACCAGGACCAGGTGGGTATTTGATTTCATTTGCATTATTGTTTTCTGATTCTTAAAAAAAAATCTGTGCTCTCTGAGGGGTACAAAACTATTACCCCATTTCATGGATAAAGAAACTAAGAATTATAACTTTAATTGGGAATGCATTCATTTTTTGCTAAAAATTGAACAAGAACAATGGAAAACTTCAGTAGAAGTTCAATTCTTAGATATGCAGGACCCAATAATCCTGATGAAATGGTTCAGTGATAATGGTAAGGAAATAAGGAACATTTAAAGGCAAAAAATAAACCCAGAGAGGTAAGAAAATACCAAAGCTAGCTTTTGCCTTGAGGAAAGCTGCCTAACAGGGAAAATATAACTTGGATTTCATGGTTCTGTGACCCCACCAACCTCCAAGTTAAGGAATTGAATAAGAGACTTTCCTGCATTAGGACAGGAGCCCAACAAGGATGTGGGTTTTGGGGGTCCTGTCCTAATGCAGCATAGAGGGAAAGCTAGAAAACACTAACATCTGGGGCTCAAAAACAATGGCTTATCTCAAACATAGGTTCCAAATAAAATCTAAAATCTATCTCACTGAATAAGTAAGAGCCTGAAATCTGGTTAATAACTTATACATATTGATGGTTCAAATTCCCACAACCCATAAAATCTGAAAGAGCAGAGAACTTAATTTAAAGTTATCTTGAGTTGGTGATATTTCTGGGTACTAGGAAAAAGCAAAAAAGCAAACCCTGACTCTGATAAAAACAACTTGGAAAGGGAGATACCAGACAAACAGGGAAACTGAGGCTCAAAAAGATAAAGTATGTGCCTAAGCTGGGATTTGAACCCAGAAAGTTGGCTGCAAAGTCTACATCCTTTAAGTGCTCTACTATCTACTATCTTCTCTACCAATGGCTCCAACAGCAAATCCTCTGTAGTGGAGAAAATGCAATGAACCAGCATGTTCTGATCTGGGTAACTGAGATCTGTGGGACACTGTCACCCTCCTGAGATGTTGCATAAGAAAACCGAGAGGAGAGTCAAGGAGGAGCGTGCTAGTGGCTTACAGAATAGGTGACGCCACTGGAAGACACGGGGGATGCCTCGTTGTTGGCAGAAGTGGTCACGGCCAGGGAGGCCAGGGCGGGGAAAAGACTTTCCATCTCGGGTTCCTCTGAGAGGTTGTCTTCACTGTCTGCTTGGCTGTGCTTCTCGACCTTGCTGCTCCCCCAGCTCTCCAGGGAGGGGCCCTCCTTTTCAGGCAGAGTCACGTCCATGCTGCCAGTGACAGACATGAACTCGTCCATGCTCTCGTTGGCAAGCAGGTCGCTCTCCAGGCTGTCCTGCACGGCCAGCTCCTCACAGGGGGCCTCGTCCCGGGAAGTGGTGGCTTCGCTGCTCTGCCCGTCCTCCACGCTGCTGTCACCAGGTCGAAGAACCAGGGCAGCATTTCGGTGGGCGTCCATGACACTGTCTTCCGTACTCAAGCTTGGCTCCGAGTGCTCCGAGAGCCCCGAGGAGAAGTTGTGGGAGGAAGGATGGCCGGAGTCTGGGGAACAGGTGCCATTCACCAGGTTTCCATTAGGGATCTTGGGCTGTTTCTCCTCCAACCTGCCTTCTGCCTCCACTTGCTCTACCTCATCCACCGACTCAAATACCTAAAGACAAGGTGCACAAAAACAGATGGGCTGGGATGTCCACTGTGGCACTGCTTTCACCAGCAACCTTAATGCCCAACAATAGGTGACTCGTTCAAATAGTCATGCATCACTTAATGACATTTCAGTGGCTGATGGATTACATACATGACAGGAGTCCCAACAGGCCTCGGTTTGTAGCAGGATAGCAGCAGCTTATACCATCAGGGTTTGTGTGGTTAGCCTTATGCTGCTGGCATAATGCTATACCTGCTTAATGGTGCATATCTCAGAACCTATGCCTGTCATTCATCTACATGCATGCAGGGGAATACTACATACAGTAAAGGAATGAGTCAGCACAGGTGTAATACATACTTGCTCCCTTTGTGAAAAAAAAAGTGACCCATAAGCATGGAAATATACAGAATAATCCAGAAAGAAACAAGGAAGCACTGCAGTCGACTCTGAGGAAGGCGTACTAGGGAGTTGAAGGGGGAAGAAGGTAACTTTTATCATATAAAATTATGTACATGTAATTTTTAAAGTAAAACATTAGTTAAAAATATAAGGAACAGGCTAAAATTATTAATATATTCATGTGGTTAACTATTATGGATCAACTTTAAAAAGTGCTAAATATAGAAATACGGAAAGATTTCCAGATTATTTCTCAAAGATTTGTTTGTGATTCTTTGGGCCCTTAGGTTATATTCCATCAAGGACAAATAGCATGTTGCAAGGTGGCTTAAAATATTTCTTCTCTGTGTCGTTATGTCATCAACTTGATTTAGTTTCCTGTGTTTCTGCTTTTTAATAAAAAGTTCTTTAATTTTAATTAAGACTAATTGATTAAACTTGCTTTAAGTTACATTTAAAAAATGCCCTATCTCCAAACTACAAAACAAGGCATATTCAGGGAAATGCAGCTTCTCTGCCTTCCCCATTTTAGGGTTTATTTATTTTATACATACAGGAGCTGCGGGGGTAGGCCAGAAGTTTGGGGGGTGGTGAGAGGGTTTACTAGAGACAGAGTGGGGAGCAGAACAGGCAGATCTACTGAAATACACTGCTGAGGGGAGCAACGGGCGAGACAGGAGAGGTCTGCGGTGCCATATATGGACAAGCTCCCTGGCTGGGGATCGAACTCATGCTGCAGTGGCTGTAGATAACTTCATAGTGCTGAGATTTAACCCTTGCACCACCAGGGAGGCCCTCACTTCGCTTTTTAAATACTGATTGAAACAGAATTAACATTTTTCATTGAATGAAATGGAAAACCATTGAACAATACACGGACATTTATACAGGGATTTTAAAAGTCTGTCAGCACTGCACTGTATCTGCTACATTTGTGCATGTAAAGCCACACAGAATGCTCTGGAAGGATACACAGCAAACTGATGACAGTAGTGTTGTTTCTAAGGAGGGCCAGTGGGGTTTAGAGATAGTCAAAGCCAAATTTGGCTTTCTTGGCAATATTTTAATTTTTTAAGGGGGAAAAGAGTCACATATTCTTTTTATAACTTAAAACCCAATTTCTAATGCTAAAACAAATAAGCCAGAAATGACCTGTAGATGATGGGCATCCACTCCCATTGCTCCGGGTGGGAGGGGGGGGTGGGGAGAGCGGGGCAGTCACCTGTGTGCTGCTGCTGGAGTCGCTCTGCAGGCGGAGGTTCTGGCGGCCAGAACTGCAGCTCTGGGAGGACTGAGAGGAAAAGGAGCAGAAGGGAGCCTGCGTGAGGCTGCATCCTGGCTCAGGGTCCCTGCACTTAGCTCAAGAGGGGCGGCAGGGCTGGGGGATCGTTAGTGTGTTTTTTTCTTGGTTCCTGTCTTGGGCAAGACCCCTCTGAGGGCCTCAGCTTCTTATCTGCAAAATGAAATGGAGTCATAGGGGAGACTCCCGTCCTGCTCTTTGGAGCTTCCTCAGAGGCCACACCAGCCACTGGGCCCCCACCTCCTCACCCCTACAAACACAGAACCCCATCTTTAATTGCTCTATACTTCTCTACTGGAGACTTCTAATATTTAGTTCAACTCAGAGTAACTGCACTCACGGCAGTTTTTACGCCCTCTGTATGTGCCTTTCACCCTATAACTTGTAGTTCCTGTCTACCCTGATGCTGGGTTTGGCCATGTGACCAGTTTCAGCCAGAGGGCAGAGCTTTAGCAAGTGCTTTTGTATTTCTGCTTTGTCTCTTTAGAATCTGCTTTCACTGTAAGAATACGACTGGGCTAAGACCGGACTAGCCTCCTGGAGGATGAGCCAGGAGGAGAAGAGCAGAGTCACCCCAGACATTGGAAAACCCAGCAAAGATCAACACACCTTTCAGCTGACCGACACTGATAGCACATCAGTGCCCACCCAGCAGACCCATAGACTCAGGAATAAAATGACACAAGCACAGCTGGAAGTCACTGACTTTGAGAGGGTTGTTTGTTATACAGAGTTATTATGGCCACTGATGACTGGTACAGCATTGGTCAAGAGAACTGACTTTCTTTTGAACTCCTGCTTTGGGATGCTAACCAGAGGCTCTGTGAGGACAGACACGTCTGGGGTGGTGATGGCAGTATCCTGATGTTCCAGGACATTCCTGACAGTACCTGGCACACAGGAGGTATTCAGTAAGCTCTATTCAATAAACTGAATGCTAGCACTGTGTTAAGCACTTTATACAGATAGTCTCATTTGAGCTGTCCACAATCCTCCCTATTGAATGATTATTCCCATTTTACAGACGAGGAAACTGAGGGTTGGAAGTAAAGGTGCTTGCTTAAGGCCCCAGCACTAGGAAATGAAGGGGTTGGGGTTCAAACTCAGATTTATATAACTCCATTGTTACCTTCGAGCCAAAAGCTTGGGGTGAGACTCTGTCCCAAGACCCCAGACACCCTGCCTCACGCTCAGCATTCCTACATATCTGACAGAGCTGACCCTGACCTTCACCGCTGCCAGGCACCCTGAGTGAGCTGCCCATCACCTCGTTGCTGATGGTGGAGTCCCGGTGCATCATCCGGTGCAGGTGGCTGTCCAGGCTGGCCCCCGATGAACACTTGGCCAGGGCAGCAGCGTGGGACTCCCGCTCCCTCTGCCGCACGATGGCCTCGCAGCCCAGCCACTCAGACATGGTCTGTGCGTAGCAAGCATGCATCTGTTCATCCACCTGTCAGGGCAGAAGCAAGGTCACCTGACAGGTGTGGGTGTCAGCCCAACTGGAAGCAGGTGGCTCCTCCCGGGGCCCTGGCCCTGGCAACACACATCTAACATTTGTAGAGTTTGCACCCAACAGACAGTACTGAGCAGCTGCTGTGTGCCTGGCCCTCGCTAGGCCCTGGGGATACCTGAACATGGCGAGGCTATTTCTTTCTTTTGGTTTTTCCTTTCCCCTCCCTCCACACATTCACCTAAGATTGGTGTACTGCACCAAAGTCAGTACCCTGGTTGTGATACCGTGTTATAGTTTTGCAAGATGTTATTGTAAGAGGAAATTGGATAAAGCCTACATGAGCTCTCACAGCATTATTTCTAACAACATGTGAATCTATAACTGTGTCAAAATACAAAGTTCAAAAATTTCTAAAATGTTTTCAATGCCATTTTAAAAAATAACATATGCTTGCTTGCATAGTGCTTCTACTGGACAAGACAAGCTCCATGCTTCCTGGTTCCACCACACCTCTCACCCCACCGTGGTCCAATACGGGACCAGAGTTCCCCCACAACTGCACAATACCTGGCTCCTTTTGCTGCCAAAGGCCCTAGGGGCATAGAGGGTAACCAACCTCCTTCCTTTCTGTTTCTGTCATTCCAAACTGGTAGTGGCCCAGAAGGAAGGGCCACACGGCCTTGCGGATCTCTGGCTGGATGCCCCCGTAGTAGATGAGGCGAAGCAGTTCCTGCTCCTCATAACTCTGTGGGTGGGAGCAATGAATTTGATTAACAGAAAACCAAGGGATGAGCTCTGACCCAGCAGTCCTGCTTCTCAGACCTAACCCGCAGAGATCGTGGTGTGAATAAGAGGAGCCCAGATGTCCATCTCAGCATCTCATGCAAGCAGAACCCCCAGAGGGGCCCATTGTCCACCAGGTGGAGAACAGGGCATCCCTGCCTGGAAATGCCACACAGAGCAAGTAGAACAGTAGTTGTGTCTACGAGACCTTACAAAAAAGATGTTCAATGGGTGCTGGTAAGTGAAAACACACACACACACACACACACACACAAACAACACATAGAGCATCTTGTGAGATAGTATGAACCCATTTTCATGAAAAAGAAAAGGGCAGGTAGACAATGCATGAACATTTCTACTTAATTTTTAGTAAATTTTGCGTACCGTGCTCTAAAGTGAATTAACCCAAAATGAGCATTTCCTACTGGTTCTTCACATGCTAATAACTTTTGTGTATACCAGGATGTTTTTAAGAACTATTGGCTATATTATGCATTGGAGTTTGTCTGCTTTCTTTTAAAAATTAATCTTTAGGCAAAAGTTTTGCAGTGGCAATGAGGCTGTGTATGTGTGTGCATGTGCACATGCACACGAGTAGTACCAATAACTACTAGATGGCTTTTCTCTCATCTCTTTACTTCATATCTTGGAATTAAAAGCATACTTCACATCTTCACCACACAATGGCAAAACCAGCCATTCTTTTGTCCCTGCTCAGAATTCTGTCCCTTATTATGTAGACAGCCTTGTGAAAGCTGTTTAGAATTCAGAAAACTATTTGTGGCCAGGGCTATAAACTCTCCACCAAAAATCTACGCCCCCCATTTCCCAGAGAACAGAGTCACAGCTGGACTCCATTTCCCAGACTCCCTTGCTTTTAGGTGGGGTCGTGTTGTTGGGTTCTGGCCAATGGGAGGTGAGAAAAAGGGATGTAAGCCATTCCCAGGCCAGGGTTTTAAGAAGAGGTGTGCCCCCTTTACACTCTCCATTTTCCCTCTGCTGGCCAGAGAGGGAGGATGGTGAGGCATTCCTGGAGGATGGTGAGCCCATAAGAGTGGAAGGAGAGAGATGGCCACTCACCAGGCAGGCACACCCAGGATGGTTGAATGAGTAAGGAATATATTTCCAGGGTGTCAAGCAATTGAAACGGCAGGGACTACTTGTTTTTGCAGCTCAGTTTACCCTCATTCTGCCTTCAACAATGCCATTAAGGGTGAAAACAAGGTCAAATAGGTCGTAAAGGGATTACAAAAGCATTTCATAAAAACTATTTATTTTTTAATGATTTACTGTTTCAACCAATTTGCATTTAGACTAGTAACTCCTAAATCAGGGAGATCACTGGAAGCATTTGGGGAACTTTCAAGAAACATAAATTCCTGGGTTCTACTCTCAGAAATGCTAATCAGTCAGGTTGGAACAGAGCCCAGAAGTCTATGAATCTTTAAATTTCTCAGGAAATGTGCATTCCTGCAGATTTCTGGGAATTAGGAGAGTAGGCTGGTATATGTATTTAAATTTTAAATGCATATCAGTTAACTTTATTTCTAGGAATCTACTGTCAAAATAAAAGCTCTAGTACAGAAAGACATGTGCTTGAAGTCAGGTCAACTACAACACTATTTGAAATAATAACGAAAAAAGGGAAGCAATCAGATGTCTATCAGTAAGGAGAATATTTGAATAAATTATGTATGAGGTGCTAAGGTTCTAACATTTAAGATTTCTCCTAGAGAGTTAAGAGACACCGTAGATATAAAAGTAAGTCGGTCACTTAATATACAAATACAACAGCTCATTTTGTAACAGTAAGAGATATATTAAAACACACATATCACTTTCTGTGCATGTATAAGCACAGAACAGTAGCAGGGTCCACAGAAAATGGATCTGACTCATTAGCTCAGGGGATCAGAAATAGAAGAGTGAAATAGAAAGATAAATATTTTTAATTATATTCTATACACTTGCATTCTTCATTTTTTTTTGAATTGCAGGAATTCCTCCTATAATTTAAAGAAAAAATGACAATTTTTGGCAAGAAGTAAAATGACCCTTCTGTTTGTCCAGGTTCCAATTTGTCCTTCCCACCCCATCCCCTGGAGTTCCCAGACTGATGCAGAAAATAGCACCCTCCTCCAATGTGGGGAGGCCAGTCCCACCAGCTGCTCTCCAGCTTGGTGTTCCCCAGAGTCTGGGTGGAGAGGCACCCCCTGACTGAATCATGAAATTTATCCAGCTTGCAGGAAAGAGGCAACGCCTCCAGACCCTGCTCTTGGCAGAAGTTAGTGTTTCTCAAAGGCAATTCTGCCTTCCAACAGCCAGGAGGGCATCTTTTCAACAAAGGTCCCTGTGGTCAAACACACCAGCAGGAGTGACCCACATGCTCCCTGGAGTGTGACAGACAGACAGCAAGGTTTTGAAAGGTACAACAGAATACAGAAAACTGTTCAACCTTGTTTCCACACTCTCTGACTATGACGCTTTTTACAAACATAAACACTTTCCTTCCAGGGACATTTGTATTCTCCTAAGCAAAGGCAGGTAGCTATTTCCAGGGAAAATATCTAAAGAGTGAGTTTGTTGGCCCTGAGACAAGAGTTTCAAACAGTGGTGGGGTTTTTTCGGCCCCGCTGCCTCTCTCTAACTTAGAGTGCTCATCAATCCAGGTAGAGTAGGGCCTCACTGCACCTCATGGATAAGCTCTTGGGAACTGTGACTTTATGTGCAATGATATATATTGCAAGCAGGTCCTTGAATGTTTCATTCAGTGCTGGCAGGTATTGTTTTTTCTCATCAATGCTCTCATGAAATGACTTTAAATGAATCAAAGCTATTGGAAGACTAGCTGTAGATTCAGTTCCTTTTGCCTGAGGACTCCGAACACCTTGTGCAGGACTAGGCAAGTAGCTGACAGTTAAGTGCCCTGTGACTGAGTCATTTTTTACTTATATGTATTCTCCATCTTCCTTGATCCTCACTCCAATGGGCAGAGCTATGGGTCTGGAAATCTCAAGAGCCAAAGCAAGGAATTTCAATTTGCATACATAGAACCCAAGGAAGTAACTACATCCTTAAGTCGCAACAAGCAGTGGCTCCACTTCTCAGATGCCTGCAGTCTCTGCCCCACTGCAGGTCAGGTCAGCTAGGCCTTACCGTGCTGTCCTGGAGGTACTGCTCCCAGATCCCAGCCGTCAGCCCGTGTCCAGCATCGCAGGGCAAGTCCGGAGAGACAATCATGTGATTGACCAGGGCTGACAGGTGGGTCCTCACGGTGGACAGGTGTCTGCAGTAGGCAAGCCCTGTCAGGGAGGGAGGAAAGTGCCATCATTCAATGTCTGATAATCTTTATCTCACTAAGTCCCCAAAGTGCTGCCCCACTGGCTCTTAGTGAACCCCCATGACTGAGCCTATTCCCATCATGCTCCTTTTCCAGTTAAGGACAGGTAGGATCAGAGGGTGAAGTCACTTGCTGGCTAGATTTAATAGCTCTGTGACCCTGGGGAAGTCCGATCGCCTTTCTCAGCCTCGGTCGGCTTGATGCCTCCTCTGCTGGAAGCCAAGGCATTGACTCTGTGGGCTGAAGGCAGAAAGGAACAGGCAGGGAGAGGGCCAGTCTCCTCCGGCTAACTGTGCCTCGGCACCTCCAATTCATTCCAAGAGGAAAGAAGGTGGGAGAGGTGGATGACTCCTCACCAAATTGCAGCTGAATGAAAGCGACCCAACAAGTCAGTGTCAGCAACTGCGGAGATGCTGAGGGCACCTGCTTTGCTTTCAAAGATGGCTCTGCACCTTTTAGAGATGTCTGCCAGTCTGCCACCCTTTACCTGCTCCACCCTGGACACCTGGGTACTTGCCTGGCACATGGCAAGCGCTTGGCAAATTGCTGACCTGTGTTCACTCTGTGTCCCCTCCTCTGGCTCTCCCCCACCATCTCATTCTCCACTCCCAGAGAGGACCCTGCACCTCCAGGGATCTGAGGATCAGCCCTCCTCATAATGGGGATGATGATGATATAATGTAGAAGACTTGCACAGCCTATATTATGTTCTAGGGACTTGTTCCCAGAGCTTATGTAACTCATTTAATTCTCAATACAGCTGTGTGAAGCAGGTACCACTATAGGTAGGGAAACTGAGTCATAGACTGATGTCCTTACTTGCCCAGATCATACTGCTAGAAGTATGGAGTTAGAATTGGAACCTACATTGCCTGATACAGAACCTGGGTTCCCAACCACCATCAGAAGCCATGTTGTATAATCACAATATTCAAGACCCATCTCAACCCCACCCCTTCCACCAGGAAGCTCTTCTATTTTGGTTCCATAAACACTTGCCCACTGCCTGCCCCATGCCAAGTTCTGCATTAGATACTAGGGATGGATGGTAACAGAATGGGCAAACACTTTGATCTTGGGCAAGTCGTGTTCTCCCTGACTCTCCAGGCACCAGGGATATGGCCTGCACCACTATTTTGCAAGCCCATGCAGGATGCATTAACACAACTTAAAATTAAAATCCCTGAAGGTAAGCACACATTTTTTTCTCTCCCATCTAGGCTGAGAGTCTGAGAAAAGAAGACCTGTTAAGAATTGATATTGAAGAAAGGGGAAAAAACAGAGTCTTTGTAGTCAAGCAGGCCTGGGTTTAAGTCCTACCTTTGTTGCTTATTGGCTGTGTGACCCTGGATGAGTCACTTTGCCTCTCTTTGCCTTAGTCTCATTTGTTCAATGGCAATTATCAGATTTGGCAATTTAATTTTTTAAATTCTTGGGAAGAGATTAGGACAATTTACTCTTCTGCTTCAGCCCAGAGAAGGAGGTGACATTTATTGAGTATCTGTGATATGAAATGCTAGCTGCTAGGGACTTTAGGCATACTTTTCATTCAGTCCCCAAAACAAACTCCCTTTAGGTGGGCACTGGGGATACAATAGTGATAAATCCCAATCCTGGCCACCAAGGAGCCCCATTGTTTACTGCCCAATCTGAGGACCGAGGGATAAATTTTATCTCCCATCTGTATGTAAGGAAACTGAGGTGCCCCCAAATTAAACATAGGAAATAGAGAAGTGGAAGTTTGAACTCCAGAGTCAGGCTTATTTTTCCGACACTGTTGGCTTATAGTAAGCACTCAGTAAATGCTCCCTGGAGAACACAGTGGCAAATAAGGACAATACGCACATCCATAGAAGGCTCTGGAAAGGATCTGGTACTTCATATTGTCACAGAGAAGCTTCAGGGGAGCCCTGCGGGTGGTAAAGAGGGAGACATTTAGGATAGACACACACATAACCCAGGTTTTTTTGGAGAGCACAACTCATTATCTCTAGAAAGCAGATTAAACCCAGCCAGTCAAGGAGATGGTGGAAATCCTGCTTTAGGTCCCTCCAGAGCAAACTTTCCCTTTGAGTTACTGGTAATAGTCAAGACGGTGGTTGCTCCATCAACTGTGTCTTCCATGTGGCAAAAGCAGAGTCGCCAGATGACCCAGGAGACAGACACAACATGTGTGATCAATAATCCTTTGTTTCAATAAGCCTCTGAGATGTCAGGACTACTTGTTACTATGACATAACCTTGTTTATGACTGATGTATGTAAGGACACTCCAATAGCTAAGACTTCACAAGGTCAGAGTTTAAGACCTGGTTGGTTTCAGTGCCTATGATCCCTCCTCTGAATTCAGTGCAGGAGAAGAAAAGGTTATCTACATATCTTTGGCAAATCCTTCAGTTCCCTCCATCTGCAGCTCAAGCCCCATACCGCTCGTGGTTGCAGCCATTGGTTGAGCCACCATCAGCCGAGCCACTCTGTGAACAGGATGAGCAGGAAGATTTCCGGGGGCTGGGCTGCCACAGGGATGGCAGGTTGCTCACGGAGACATCCATCATGTCCTGGGGGACTGTGGTGGGTATAAGGGCAGAAGAAGAGCCTTGGTTAATCTACATGGGGCAGAGCAACCTCACCCCACAGCAAGCAGCTCACCCCCGGCCAGCACAGGGATAGGAAAAGACCCTGAAGGTGACAGCAGGAAACAGTGATGTCAATCATAGTCTGACCCAGGTCTTTGAGCCCATCTGATCCAATGAAAGCCACCACTAAGATCTGGGATTCCCAGGAATGGGCAGAGCCAGTAAGTTGGAGAGAGAGAGGAAGAAAACAGAAAGATCAGAGCCAAGAAAACACCCATTCCCAGAGTAGGCAGCCTCGCCTTGCCATGTTGTCATTTAGTTGTCCTCATAGGATGCTGATGGGAGGGTAGGAGAGCCTGCTGGAGGCTTCTGTGGAAGGCTGATGGCATGAAGTCCCATGAGATAGGTCTCATGGGGAGGTCCTGGCAGTGAGATGGAAAGGAGTCTGATTCAAAGATGAGTCAGAGCACACAGAAGCAGGGGACTGCTGAGTCCCCACTGATGAAGGTGGAGGGCACCTTCGCTGTCCATGGTCCTGAGTCACTCAGTTGCTTCACCAAAAGGCTCTCAAACAGGTAAGCAACACCCCAGAATCATGTAGGGGGTGGAGGGAGGGGCTTGCTAAAAATTCTCATGCCTACATCCTACCCACATTGTATTGAAATATAGCCCCCTGCAGATATGGGCCTTTGAGTCTGTATTTCAAAAACAATTTTGATAATAACAGCCACACTGAAGAACCAAGACTGATGTCCTAACTCTTGAACTTCAGTGATTCCAATCAGCTCCTCTTAGGATACAGTACTTATAGTTCCCTACTTCTTTCCCCTCTTTTCCCTTCTTCATGAAACCTGCAGTATCTTCAATGCGATAGAACAAAAAAAAACCAATGACATACGCATCACAACTTCTATAGGTAACTTCCTGGCCTCCTAGCAGCTCTAGGTTAAAAAAATTTCTCTAGGACAGGGCTTGGCACACATTTTCTACAAAGGGTCAGATAGCAAATATTTTTGGGCTTCAGAACTATCTGTTCACTATTGCCACCACTCAACTCTGTGCTCACAGAGCAAAGCAGAGATAAACAAAAATCAAACTAGTAGAATAAGTATGTTCTAATAAAACTTTATAGACATTGAAATGTGAATTCATGTTATTTTCACATTACAAAAATTATTCCCCTTTTGATATTTTCAATCATTTAAAAATGTAAAAACATTTCTTAGCTCACGGGCTGTATAGAATGAGGTTAGATGTGGCTCAAGCCAAGTCTGCCCAGCCCCATTAGGAGATGTGCACATCTGCCCCATACGCCACGCCTCGCCAAGCACTGGGAAACCCATCCCTTTCCCTCGGGCTCTCCAGGAAGGGGACTTGAGGATGTGGTCCCGCTTGTCACCAGAGCTCAGTGGCTGACACAGCCTGTATCTACCCACTGACAGAACTGAAAACTACCAATAGAATTGGCACCAAAACGCGGCTTATTATACTACTCCTCCCTATACACTCACCAACGAGGTAGCCACAAAAGGCCAAAACCCCGGTGAAAAATTCCAGAAAAACGCTCCCAGTTCTCAGCCCATTTCAGGGAAGCAATGATCAGTTTTCCAAGGTGTGGCAAACATGCCTTCACCCCTAGCTCCTCATACATCACCCCCTGCAGATATCACCCACAGGTCCCTTCATTACTGAACCCACAGCACCTCAAGCTGCAGGGTGCAGGCTGGATGGCACTAGTTTGTCCACTGCCTCCATCTCCCTTGGGACCAAGACTCAAATGACAACATGGCAGAGGTGGCCAGCACCCAGCACCAGGGTGGGGGAAGCCCAGACATTACTGGGGGGCTGCTGCTTCAGGCCCGGTGTGGGAAGGGTGGCATCCCATCTGGCTCGTGCCCACTGACTGTCCCTGGCCACCACCAACATGGAGCGGCCCGCAGGAACCACCATCCAGGCAGGGCCCATGGAGACAGGGGAAGTGCTGCACAAGGGGTCAGGAGCAACTTGAGACACAAAATGAAAAGAGCTGGTGAAACGGGAGGTCCAAGGCAGGTGGCAAACAGGAACAGCAGAAGCCAGTTCCTCAGGGCTGCTCCACACAGCTCCCACATGCCGTCACAACTAGAGGAAGAAAGAATGCTGATATGTAAAGTGTGCCTGGTATGTGCTGCGCATAGTGCAAGTCAGGGCACTTATGGTCCTCAGTGACCCTGTAAGGGAGGCATTTTTCCCCATTTCACAGAAATGGAAACTGAGGCTCAGAATGATGACAACTTGACCACTCAAAAGTCCCACCAGGTAGTCACTGGCACAGCTGGTCTTTGGGACAGATGTCTCCTTTCTAACAAGACCGATGATAAACTGCGCACAAATATTATCATTATCCACTTTTACAGATTAGGAAACTGAGGCACAAGCTTCCTAATAGCATGCCCAAGTCCATCCAGCCACTAAGTGGTAGAGCTGGGGTTCCAACCCAAGAAGCAGACCCCAAGATTGTATTTATACTGCCTTAGCCGTTTCCCTTGGGGGTTGACCATATTACCACCCCCGCCCTAGACCAGCAATTCTCACAGGGCGATGATGGTCACCGAGGCACATCAGTGATGTTTGGGGCCATTAGTTGGGAATTAGTTATATGTTCCTAACATCTAGTGAGTAGAGACCATGGATGCTGCTCAACATCCCATAATACATGTGACCCCCTCCCCCTCAGCAATTACTCAGTACCAAGGTTGAGAGATTGCACTGGATCTGCGCTGTCCAGCAGAAAGACAATGTGAGCCACATGCATGAATTTAAAATTTCCAGTAGCTACACTAAAAGGGTAGAAAGGAGTAGGTTGAGTCAATCTCCACAATATATCCTGCTTAACCCAATACATCCAAGATGTTATCATTTTAACATATAATAAATATAAAATTACTGAGATATTTTTCATTCTTTTTGTTTTGTACAAATCCAGTGTGTATTTTTACATCACAGCACATCTCAATTTGAATGAGAGACATTTTAAGTGCCTGGCAGCCACAGATGGCTCAAGGTGACCATGGAAACAGTACAGAGACAGTCTCAGGCAGATACCCTCGGCAGAGAGGTTGGGACAGCTCCAGATCCTAGCCTGGGCAGGAATGGATGTGGTAACGAACACTCAGGGACATCGTGTGACTCTTAATGATGCAAGAACACGAGGCTTTGCTCTTAACCAGTCATGAAGAAATATGTGGCTGAAGATACATGCTAACTCAGCAACATGAGACCTTCCTTACCACCACGCCTGCCCCGTGGCCCAGATCCCACCTGGCCAAGGATGAGAGCCCCAGCACTAAGTGCCCAGTGTGATTACTTCAGCCTTGCCAGAGAGCATTCCTGCTCCAAAAGAGCCCTCCCTGCCCAGTTGTAGCCACTTAAGCCAAGCACTGCCCCAAGTCATGACCCATCACTGGAACAACTGGGTCACTGAGGGTTAAATAAATTAGATTAACAGAACTGGGAACTTAATATTAATTTAATAGACATCCACATGGTGCTTAGTAAAATGCCAGGCCTCCTGAGAACTTTTAAAATATTAATTCAGGGCCTCCCCGGTGGCGCAGTGGTTGAGCGCTGGGTTGCGAAGCTGCCCGCAGCCTCTACAGCGCCGGTTCGATCCCCGGCTGCTCCCTGGCCACCGGAGGAGGGTCCCACATGGCGCGCAGACCTCTCCTGCCGCCCGCTGCTCCCCTCAGCAGTGTACTTCGGTCCTTCTGCCTGCTCTGCTCCCTGCTCTGGCTCTGGTGAATTCTCTCACCCTCCCGCGCTTCTGACTGTACCCAGTGCATGTATAAACAAAACAAACAAACAAACAAATAAATAAAACATGCCTCTAAAAAATAAATAAATAAATAAAAATAAAATGTTAATTCACTTAATTCTCATAATGGCCCCATGATAATGTTGATCTTAATAGTAACGGTTTCCATCAACTAAGTCTAGTTCATGGCAGGCTCTGTGCAAACTGTTGGCCCTACATCATCTTTGGTGCTGGTGCCTAATGCTCCCTTCCCACAGCTGTGCTGACTGCTGTTTACTGAGGACCTACTGTGTACCAGACCTAATTCTGTGGGTTCTACATTGATCACCTCATTAGCTCATTGACTCCTTACAATATGTTGAAATAAAATGAAGACGATAAACTCTTACTATTTGCGGCAACATGGATGGAGCCAGAAGGGCTGATGCAAATGAAATAAATCAGAAGGAAAAAGATAAATACTGGATGGTTTCATTTCTATGTGGAATACAAGGAAACCAAAGGGTTAGACAAAGACAAATCTTGAAAGCTGACCATAGATCTCAGTCATCCAGGGGGGAGGGAGGGGAGGGTATAGGAAGGGGTGACAACAGGGTGGGGAGGAGCACAAGGTTTTTGGTGATAGGAGAACTACAGTGACCACACCTGAGGGGAGAAATCATATATTGTCCAAAAATTAACAATGATATAAGAAAAAAAGTACTACATTTTAAAAATTAAAAAATAAACAAATGAAATCATAACAGAACAGCAGCTAATAAGAGTAGCCTGTGTGTCAATTGTCTTGTCTCATTTAATCCTCGCAAGAACCCCATGAAATAGGTGCTATGAATGTGCCCATTTTACAGATGAAGAAACCAAGGCACACAGGGGTGTGGGGACTCGCCCAGGTTCAACTGGGATTGCAGAACCTGTGTCACTGTCACTACCCCAGACCCCCTCCTTCCAGGCTAAGAAGAAATTGGTTATTTGTTCTCATTTGGGGAAGACACTAAGGCACCCAAGATATTTACATGATTCCAGATCCCTCTGTTGGCCCCAGAATCCAGACCTGTTGTTCTGTAGTTTCAAATGCCTGGAGTCCTTTTTAGGATCAGTTAACAGGCCCATGCTTGGGGCACAGCAACAGGGCAGCTTACCAAACTCCGACTGCATGCCAGGGTAGATGATCCTGAACACGTAATCCGTGGCCTCGTCATCTTCTTTATCCGAAGACGTGGATTCGGCGGAACCCTGAGGGCTTCGCTTGCGCAGTTTGGGAAATACTTTGCCCTGAAAGAACATGTCCCAATGCACCATCCCTGGGACACGTTTGTCTCTCATGGAGGTGGGGAGAGCATTCATGAGTCCACAAACTCACAAGGGTTGGTGGGTAGAATAGCCTTGCCCTTTGGCTGACCTCCACCAGCATCCCTGGGCCCCTACAGTCACTCACCTTCCCCCGCTGGGACCAAAGTGGCGGGTCCAGCTGCCCGTGAGGGAGCAGCCCGTTCTCCAGGCATGAGAGGAACTGCAGGAGGTGACCACCTTTCGGGAAGCGGAAGGGAGGCCTCTGGATCCCATCCTGGCTGACCAACACCACCGTCCCGCCGCTGTCCACTGCCACCGCAACCCGGCCAGAGAAGATCCAGCAGGAAGTCACTATGAGGCATTGATGGGACCCTCCCAACACATTCCCCAGGCATGCTAGGTCAAACCCAGGACCCTGCTCTAAGGTTCTGGGGAGGCTGGGAAGAAGATTGGGGAAGTTTTACTTCCTGACTCCCTTTCATTCCACCCACCACGGCCTGTGACCAGTGAACCTCAGGACAAGGTCAAGAAGAGTATGGCTGGCCTCCCTGAAGTCACCAACGAAGGAAAAAGGTGCCCCGAATAACCTATAACCCCTCAAGAGCTATCACAGACCCCTCTGACCCATTTTTGCATGGAGGCTGTCAGACCTCTGCCCTCTCAGAGCAGCTGCTGACTCAAGCTCACATGCCCTGAACACTCTCCATAAGAACAGCACTTTAAAGGCACTCTTTTATTATCATCATTTATTTTAATACTCAAAATACCTATCCCAAACATTTTACAAATGATAAAACTGTGACTCAGAGGAGTTAAGGGGCTTGCCCCAGGTCACCCAGCTGCTAAGTGGCAGGGTCTGGATCTGAATCCTCACTGAATAATCCTGCTGTGTGTGTGCTGAGGCACAGACCCCTTGCTTTCTGAAATAGGCTGGTTCTTGGTTTGTTCTGAATGTAGCTTGCTCTGAAGGAGCTTTCAAGAACTCTAGTTATTGAATCCAGATCTTCAGAACACTTTTGACTTGGAATCACTAAGACCTGGGCTCTAGTCCAGGTTCTGGAGCTTAAAGGATGTATCACTTTGTGCCAAGCGGTCTCCTCCCCTCTAACATGGGAATGATGGTGCTCCTGTCCCTGGGTTCACAGACATGTGAATATTTAGAACACAAGGACTTAATCAGTATCAGCAACTAAACCATGGGTTTAATGTTGAGTATATAACAAACATCATTTGATTCTCAACCCCATGAACAAGGGCTATGATCCCCATTTTACAAATGGGGAAACTGAGGCTCAGGGGGGTAAAGTCACTTGTCTGTGGTTGCACAGGCAATAAGGGGGTGGGGCCGGGAAGGGCATCCAGGAGCAATACCAGCCCACGTTCCTGCATGGTCCCTACCTTGCTGGTGGCAGTGCAGGTAGACAATCTCCTCCAGGCGGATGGTCATGGCATAGTCCCAGTAGACGCTGGGAAGGGATGAAGTGTTAAGCGCACAGGATGCCTGCCCACCCCATCTTGGGGAAGTGCTCAGGAAAACAAGACTACACCTGTGGGCTCCTCGCCCTTGTCACCAGAAACACCTTGTCGCCAACATCCACATTTCAATCTTGCCAAACTTGACTCCCCCTGCTTCTGGTCCCACACCCCACTTTTCCAAGGAGACTATCCCTCCCCCCACTTCATGTAGCTGAGGTTGACTTCATCCACCTTCTACCCAGGACTCCAGGAATGGCCACCTGATCCAGGCCTGGCCAATCAGCATATTCCACTGCTCAGGTCAGAGTAACAGGCTCAGGGATGGCCCCATGATTGGAGCAGAACCAACAAGATTCAATTGTTGTATTTAAGTAAGAATTACTGTGAAAGGACCTCCCCTCCCTGGTGGCACAAAGGGTTAAGTCTCAGCACTGTGAAGCTATCCCCAGCCATTGCAGCCTGAGTTCGATCTCCGTCCAGGGAGCTACCTACATGGCGCAGCAGACCCCTACTGTCTTGCCCGCTGCTCCCCTCAGCAGTGTATTTCACTAGAGCTGCCTGTTCTGCTCCCCATTCTGTCTCTGGTGAATCCTCTCACCCCCTACATCTCTGGCCTGTACCCCAGTCCTTCTACATAAAAATAAATAAAATCTTAAAAAAAAAAAAAAAAAGAATTACTGTGGAAGAAATGGTCCTTTCTGCTTGAGGCTAGTGGTAAGGATAATGAAGTCTGGGGATGCAGGGGGTCATGGTAAGAAAAAACCTGCCAAGAATGGATTCAACAGTGGGAATGTAGAGCCAAGAGATGAAACGAATTCAAGTCCTCATCATTTGAGTCCCTGGATCCAGCCATGCCTGAAACTACTACCTCTGGATTTTTCAGTTCAGGTGAGGATGAGTTTGATTTTTGGTCTCTATGAGTCTTGATTAACACAGACTCTAACTCCAGGTCATGTGTCCACAGGTAGGTGTTAGAACAGCTATTCAACAGCCTTAACTTCACAAGGGCCAACAGCATGACTTGAAGGCTTCTATGAATCAGTTTCTCCTTTGCAAAATGGGGATGATAGTAATATCCACCTGAGAGTGTCTCTGGGAGGGTTAAATGGAATCACATATTTGAAGAAACCAACACAGATACATAAAAAAGCCCTTGGTTAGTGGTCGTTGGGATTATTTACTCAATGTTTTCCACTTCTGGCTCAAAGCCTACTGGTGTCTTGAAACTGATTATTTTCCTCCTCAGAACACAATGGAAGGAGAGTGCCCCTGTGTGGACTCCGGCAGCCCCAGGGACGTATTACTGAGGTCTCCTTCAGGAGCGCGTGCTGTGGGGAGAGCTAACCAGCAGCTTCAGAGGCCACCTCTCTGGACCCACGCCTACATTCATGCCAAGGCGCACTTCCCTTGGGCTGCTCCCAGCCAGAACCAAGCTTTTGTAGTACCAGGCAGGCCTTCCTGTGGGGTAGGGAATCCTCTAATGGTCAGCTTTAGCCAGGCACTCCCAACTGATGTGGTCAAATGCTCTTAGAGCTGAGACCCTTCCTGTCCAATTTTCCTTCTTTCACCTGTGCCTTCGCAGGGATGTGGCCAGCCTCAAGGTCTGAAGACTCTGCCTGATGACTCTGCCATCTCCGCCTGCTCTTCACTTTCCTCCTTGACCGGGGCTTCACCCTGTCTTGGTGTCTGCTTCTTGGAGAGCCCAAACTAACACAGCCTCCAAGATCAGACAGGGTTCAAATCCCATTTCTGCCATTTTACATTAAACCAGCCCTTCCCTCTCTCAGTGCCTCAGTTTCCCCAGTTGGGGTGTGAAGAAGTCAGAACAGATGCTTTCCCAGGGCCCTTCCTGCACTGGTCTGCACCAGCTCTGGTTTCCCCAGGGCCCATGGGCGAGTGTGCTTGGAGGAAGTCCAGTACACAAGCACTATTAAAGGAGAACCTCTGCTGAGCCCTCCCATGCGGAGTCTTGGTCAGCAGGTCCTCTGGGCGCACACATTGTGTCCATCACACAGGTTTGAAGTTGGTGGTTTTCTCCCATCTTCCCAAGGGGTGCAGAACCCTGGGTTTCATTCACTTTGGCAAGATGCTCAGAGAATGTGCAGAGTGAACAGTGAATGCTAGGCCCTGGGGATGTCCAGGAAGCCAAGCAATTCTCCAGCCCCCACCCCAGCAAAGAGCAGCTCAATGGCAACAGTCCTTCTGCGGTCCACACAGATTAACACCATGAGTCTCCGATATTCGGAGGCCTTTCCAGGCTCCAGGCTCCCTGCTAAGGGTTTTCTATCCACTTTCTCACTGGCCCTCCCCACATGCCTAGTCTGATCCATTCCCACATTCCCACTTCACAGATGAAAAAAACTGAGGTTTAGGGAAGTAAAATTGGTAGTCCAAGATCACTCCACTGGGAGAGAGCTTTGGATTTCCTTAAGATGTTTAAACAGTTCCTTAAGAGTGGAATTGTGGGGTCACATAATAAGAGGACACTACAGAATCTTCCAAACTGGTTTGTGAGTGATTGCACCGCCAGCAATGTGTGGGGTTCCAGCAGTACTACGTGGCAGGACCGAGAAGAGCCAGGTGCAGACTGAGCTTGGCGCTCAGAGATCCACCTTTGGTGATGGCTCCTTGTGAACATTAGGGAACCCCACTGGGGAGCTGCCTGTTTGTGCAAGAGGCAGGTTGGCTGGGAAAAGAGGTCCTGAACCTCCTCGGAGAAAGACAACTCTCGCTTATTTTTGTTGTCCCTTAGTCTCCAAGGGGGTGCTGGAGCCCCTGGGTAAGAGAATATACCCATGATAACACCCCATCTCTGATCCTTGGCTATTTCTCTTTCACTGAGCCCCACTCCCAGGCATGGAAATCAAGGATAGATGGGGTTCAGAGCCCAGGGCCGAGGAGGTCTCCAGCCCCATCAGTGACCCTGGAAGTCCTGATTCTGCTGGAAATAAATATTAAAATGTCTATGGTGCTGGGTCACAGACTAGAAAAGACAATGCAGAAAAACAGTTCCCTGTGATTTGTGGGGTGTGGGGTCATGGGTAGGAGGGTGGTGCATGGCAATCATTGGCCCAGTGCCTTTACCAAAACATCAGCACCAAATGTTTCCTGCCCACACAAGCCTGGACTTAGGTCCAACCTATAGGGTGGTGAATTGTTGGAAGCTTGATGCCTGCAGAAGATACCCCTAGAGGTCCTTTGGGGAATCCCCCCAGTTCTGGAAGGCCATCTTGTTCAGCCCTCTCATCTGATAGTAGGAGGAAAGAGGCCCAGAAAGGGGTAGTGACATCAGCCAGGTCACCCACTGAGGTGAGGGCTGAGCAAGCACTAGGCCCTCTAACATATTTTTCCATGGACTTGCTTACTTGGGTCACCCTCTGGTATAATGTATAAGCTCTGAAAGGAATATGATCCCTCTGATCATATTCAGCTGTTCTCTCTCTCGTATCTAGCACAGTACCTAGCATATAGTACGTGCTCAGTTAATGAATGAGTCTGGTTCCCTGCCTTCCTTGCTTTGTTTCGTAAAGATTATCTGAGCACCCGCCATCTGTGGCAGGTGCTTTGGGAAAAGACATGGACAAAATAAGTTCCTGCTTCCTTGGAACTGAGGTCTGGAGGGTGAGGCAACAGGTCCAGCAAGAACAGATTCATTATGTAACTACAACTCTGCATATGGCTAACAAGGACATTCAGGGCTCTGTGTGACCCAAACTCAGGTGGCAGCTCAAAGGACCAAAGTTGAAGAGGAGTAATTTCAGAAAAGGTTCCTGGCCAGGAACACCTCCTTGGCCCCACACTGTTCTCCTGCAACCATTTCTTGATCAGAAACTCTCAGTCCAGCTGGAGCTGAACTGTGTGGCCCAGTCTAGGACCAACTGCACCATCCCCCAACACTCTCTGAGGACAGAGGCCACCTCTGCACAGGAAGTGACTGGCTTAGAGCTAGTATTCATCACACCAAGGCCTGCTGCTAATCACATGGAATAGAGCACAGCAACAATGTTCTCGCTGTGGTCCTTGAAGTGTCCTTGCTTCCTGTCTCTACAGAGGAAGTCCTACAATGCCTGCACGCTGCTTCAGAAATAACATGTATGAGAGGAGGCCAGGGTGGGGATGATGGGAACTGCTTTGCCTATTTTTATTCTGGAAATCCTTCATAATAAAACATTGTTAAGAAATTAAGAAAATGGGGGGCCTCCCCTGTGGCGCAGCGGTTGAGTGCTGCATTGCGAAGCTGCCCACAGCCTCTGCAGCACCGGTTCGATCCCTGGCTGCTCCCCGGCCACCAGAGGAGGGTCCCACATGGCACGCAGACCTCTCCTGCCGCCTGCTGCTCCCCTCAGCAGTGTACTTCATCAGTCTTCCTGTTCTGTTACCCGCTCTGGCTCTGGTGAATTCTCTCACCCTCCCACGCTTCTGACTGTACCCAGTGCTTGTATAAATAAATAAATCTTAAAAAAAAAAGAAAAATTAAGAAAATGTAAAAGAAAAACAGGATTAGATGTGGACTCAGAGCAGCGAGAACCATTGTTTCTCCTCCCCCACAGCAGCCAAGACTCCTTAAGCTGAAATGACTGACCAGCTGTAGTTCTGCACACTGTCTTCCCCATGTTCTTTCTAAAGGCTTCCTTAGTTGTGCTAGAACATGGGACTGCATGAGGGAATCCATTGTTCCCGTGCTTGCTTGGACTGTGATTCCACAACCTTTGCTGAGTCTTAGACAACTGCAGAATATTATAGGGGGTGCAGCCCTGGGCCAGATGCTCACCAACCAACATCTGCTTCCCTCTGTAGTGGGTGGAAGGGTATCTTGCAAAGTAGAGAGTATTCTGCCATTTGTGGGTTTCTGAGATGGTTAAGATTTCTCTCTGCGTGTGGAGTTTTGACCAGGGCTCTGCCTAAGTCCCATGCCCTAAGATTCTTGTGGTAGGTTTCTGAATCACTGAGTTCTGAGTCACTCATGAAGCACAACCCCTCCTTGCCTTGCCCAGGAGGGGAACATCCCCTGCCCAGAGAAGGGAGGGACCCAGGGACCCAGGGGACACATAGCAGTTCAACATCCTACCTCTTCTCATAGTCCAGGTCCCCCACAGACCCATTCATCAGCTGGTTGGGCGTCCACTTCAAGGTCATGACGTCAGCCGTCTGGTGCAGGGACAGGTACCCCGGCACAGCCTCCATATCGTCCCTCTGCAGAGAGACAAGGACTCAGGCCTGACCACAGTGCAGAGTCACAGTGTACATGACCCTGGAGCATTTGGCTCAAGAAATTACAACCAGAATCAAGAGGCTGGGTTGTTCCCTTCAGGGGGGATGGCCACCCGGAAGACCCTGGCCTTCCTCCCAGGTGGCTGTGCTGAGCGAAGCTGTTTTCAGCCAACTACCTGGGTGGGTGCTACAGCCTCCTGTGCAAGTGGTCCACCCCCAACCTCCCTCCTGAAGCCCAGGGGCCCTGTCCACAGCACCCTTTTCAAAACAGAAGGCATTTCTTTGGCATTATTTTTGCCACTGTGGAGGGAGAAAGAGATAACAGCTGAGCCCCACATCTCAGCACAGGGGCATTACCCAGAACCCCTCCCCAAACAGCACCATCAGCCTGATCTGACCCTTTGGTCTTTGTCTGCTTTGCCTTATCTTAAGTGGGGTGTGTTGGAGGATGGAGGGGTTGTCTCCAAGCCTCACACACAGAAGAGGCAGCCACTCCGTGAAACTCACCTCAGCAGCACGTGGGACCAGACACTAAGCACCAAGAGTGTACCAAGCATGGCTCAGCTTTACACAGATCATCATAACCTAATTGCATGTGCCCCCAACCACAAGGAGGCGCCGCTGCAATACCCCATCGACTCCAAGAGCAGAGTTGTGTTTCACATTGTGATGCACCAAAAACAGGATGCCTCTGATAACTAAGTGCATCTCCCAACAGCAGTGTAGCTATAATAAGTGACCTTGTGCAAATCTGGCCATAGCCATCCATATGGCTGTCACTTCAATTAAGCTGTGAGCACACTGACTTCTTCCCATGGGAATAGGGGAGGGGGGGGATTTTAAGTTTCTTCAAAAAGGTCAAACTGTGATTCAGCTTTGAATTGAAAAGTTACTGAAAGTGTATGAAGAAAGGCTGAAAACAGAGCAATGAAGTACTAATGCAATGCTGACAAAGTAGATACATTATCCACCACTGCAGGTATGTCTACTAGTACAGATTTTCTTGCAAAGCAACAACCCAGTGCTTCACAATACTTAAGAAGGTTCCAGGGACTGAGCTGAGTGCACATGCTTACAAGAAATGTTGTATCTCCATGCTCTTGATTAGAGGCCAGCAAGCTTGTGCTGAAAAAGCTCAGACGGGTAATTGTTTGGGCTTTTGGAGCCATAAAGGCAGGGTCACTACCACTCAGCTCTGCAATTGTAGTGTGAAAGCAGCCATACACCATGTGTAAACTAATGGGTGTAGCTATGCTCCAATAAAACTTTATTTTTAAAAACAGGTGGAGGGCCACATTGGGCCAAGGGCAATAGTTTGTTGACCCTTTTCATGTTAGAGCAGAAAATGATATTTGGTGGAAAAATAAGAATAACGATGATTCCAAGTCAAAAAGTGATACAAAAGATTGGACCCTGAAATGTAAAGATGTTTGAGAACTATCTTAACTAATATATTTTAGTTATGTTCTCCCTGTAGGTACTTTTAAGAGTAATGTATGTGTTAATAAAGCTATATCCAAAGAAGTCTCAAAGAGCTTTTTTCAAAAGTTATAAGATAACTCACCAAAGGGTGAGCAGTGAGCTGCTATTAACCCAGCATAAGGACGGTCAGCTACTTTGAGGAGTCTAGAAGAATTTAACACCTCCCCCCCCCAAAAAAAAACAACCTAGTGAAAACAGAGCAGCTACAAAGGTCTTTATAATGAATATATTTAATATATAGTAAGAAAACTCTGAATATAATTTAATAGCATTTTTATATCCTGATAGTTATGTTAAAAATGGCACATGTTAAATCCATGTCTTCTTAGGTCTGAGGAAACTTGGTCTTAAACCCACCCTGCTGTGAAGGCTGAGGCTCAGAGGCTAAAACCTCTCTCTCTCTCTCTGCTTCCTGCCAGCTGAGCCCAAACACCACGCTAAGCTTAATGGACAGCAAAGGCCATATCACATGAGAGGGGAGATTTGGGTACCATGCTCACCACCCCTCCTGGGGGCCTGGCCCCAGGTAGGTAAATAGCACAGACATTGGCACCAGTAGACCAGAATTCAAATCACAACTCTGACCCTTACTCCACCTGGATGAAGCTCAGTGTTATCTCTGATCACAGCACCTGCCTCAAATGGCTGCAGTGAGGTTTACAAGAGTTAATACAGTCAACATTCTCACAATGGTGCCTGGAACATAGGAAGCATCAGTAATTATTACCTGTAAAGATGTTTATCTTGGTATCGCAAGCATCTAGCACATAGCTAGGATCAGCATGGTTCAGCACATAGGTTCAGTATAAATGCTTGCTGACTGAGTTTGAGAAAGAACAAGAGAGAATGGATGGAGAGACAGTTGGGTGGACGGATGCACGAAGAGATGAACTGGAAAATAAATGGACAAGTGAATGGAGGGATATAAACAGGCTGGTGGGTGAAGGAATTGGGGCTGAATGCATGGAGGGATGGGTGAATATTCAGGTTGGAAGAGAGTTGGCAGGCTGGAGATATTGACAGATGGAAGAACAGATGGAAGGATGATGATACTGTCATGTGAATACATAGATGGACTGGAATACTGTTGTATGGATGGATGAATGGATAGATGGAGTTCTTGGCAGTTGACTGGGTGATGGATGGATGGATCCTTAGATACATGAATAGAAAAAATGCTGTACTGACAAGTGGACGAATGGCAATACTGGCAGATGAATGAATGGATAAGTGGGTGGGCGGATGGATGGGCAACTTGGAGCCCAAGGGAACCCCTCCTCTGTAACCTGGATCTTAACCCCCCCCCAGTGAAAGATCTGGGCCTAAGATGATCTCTTACCGGCTGAACCAGAACATTGTTCTTGCCGTAAAGCAGGGTGGCCCGGGAATTCTGGTGCAGGGACTCAACATAGTCACGGGCAGAGAGAGATGGCCGGTCATCCATACTACCACTCGAATGCCTCTTCTGGATCTAGTAATGTGAGAGGGGGTGGTAGACAGGCCTGGAGTGACTGTCAACGTCCCATCCCAATCCACTCCCTGCCCCACATCAAATTCAGAAGTGAGTCTTACTCTCTCCACCACCCACTGCCCACCCCACTCACGCAGAGGGCTGGACGCTTGGTGGGCGAGTCCTGCCGCAGGTGTGAACTGTGGATGCGGTGCCTCTGGACAAGCTCGTCGGCCGAGGGATCGGTCCAGAAGTGGTCCGCAGTCTTCATCTTAGTGTACTCCAGGGCACAGGGCCCCACTGCGGAGCATGTGGGGCTGGGAATCCATAGGCCTGAGAAGTCCACCCTCCCCTCCACCACCAGACTGGATCCCATTCAGCCAGCTAGGGTGCCTGAGTCCTGCTAAGAAGAGACTGAAACACGACCCTGGGAGCAAGGGACAGCAAATAGGCAACTTTTGACAGGGAGGCTGCAGAGAAGTGAGAGAGATCCTTAGGACATGCCCCCAAAAGCTGTGACCAGAGATGCAAGTGAAGCTCAGAGCACTGAACCACTTACCCAACAAAGACGCGAGGATGGGGCCATCCACCGGGTCCATCAAGAGAGCTTCCTTCTCATAGTATTTACTGGCAAGAAAGGGAAGGACATGCAGATTTGAATGGCAACCAGCAGACACTGGTTGCACACTTACCCATGGCAAATGGTTCAGAGCAGACAGCCTGGGTTCAATCCCCCTCTTATCACTGAGTTATCTTTGTAAGTCTCAGCTGCCTTATCTATAAAATAATAATATATCTCATAGGGCTGTCAGAAGGACTTTTTGAGAGACAGCAGATGTACGGCACATAGCACAGTGCTTGTATGTAAGTGCTTAATACATGGCTAGGATAAAGTCTACTGAGAATAGCAGGAGTAGTAATTAGAAGGCTACTGAGGCCCGGTTGGTTCTAGCTGCTTCTAATGCACCTTCCATTTCAGACAGGAAGTTGCTTAGAGACTTAAATGATGTCTGCCCTTCTAATATTACTGAGGCAATAAAGTGCTTTTTAGCTGTGGTGTGTACAGAACAGCTGTATTAACAACCTTCTGGCACTGATGACTAATGTGGATGACATGTTCAAAGTGTCCCTTGGTTTTTGGCTCTTCAAAATAACAAATAATGCTGAGTGCTTTGTTTGTTTGTTCTAGTTGTAGCACTTTATAATTCCTTGAAAACTCATACAGTCCAGAAAGCAACTGATTTCAGAGTGGAAAGGCTGAGGAATCTCAGACTAAGAGGGTTAGTAACTTGTTGGAGGCCACAAAGCGATGGATGCAGGCTTGAGCTACACTCAGCCAGACTTGGCCCTTCCCACCTACAGCAGGGAGGGAGTGAAGGACATAGGAGCTGGAGTGAGAAAGACTGAGTGGGACCCCAGCTTGGCTGCTCCCCTCCTCCCTGGGCAGGTGGATGCTCCTTCTGAATTTTATAAAATGGGAAGGATGACAGACATCACCTGCCTGGGCTTTGGGGAAGATTCAATGTTGACCTCCATGTATAGCAAAAGCACAGACCCAACATCAGGAAGTTCCCAATAAAAGGTGGCCACATCTCTGTAATTTTACCCTGAGGGAATTTTCCATCAACCAGAATACTGGCTGGCCCAGGATTGCCATGCACTGGACACGCTCAACATCTAGTCCATACATTTTGGTGTCAAATCTGGAGGCAATATTTCCAGAAACCTTGGAAATGTTGCCTTAAAAAAAACAGCAGATAGAGTTGGGGGCCAGATGTGACTACAAAGGGAGCCTAAGGGGGTTTTGCAGGAGGTGGTGATGATTTCTTTGGAATAGTTCTGTATCCTGATTGTGGTGTTGGTAACACCACATTTGTATACATTGGTAAAATGTATACATTTTATAATACATTTGTAAAAATTGTATACAACTATAGAGCAAAAAAAACACATGCAAAAACTGATAAAATCCAAACGAAGTTTGCAGTTTTGTTAACAGCATTGTACCAATGGCAACTTCCTGGCATTAAAACTTGTACCATTGTTATATAGAATGTTACCCTGGAGAACAGACAAGAACTTCTATTTATTTTACAACTTGTGTCTGACTCTAAAATTCAAAATATGAATGTTTAATGAAGAAAGAGCAGGTTGGCATTGCTGCTCAGATAAATGACTAAATCCTTTTGACCAACTTGTTCATCAGGAAACCCAAGGTCACACACTAAAGTCAATAACTAAAAAGATTCCAAACCATGACAGGACAGGGGGCAGAGACAAAGTACAATTTACCAGAAGGTTGAAGAGCTTCAGAGCTCATTTCTTTCTGTTTCTTTCCTGCCCCCAGGCCTCTGCATCTGTTGTCCCTCTCCCCCCCCCGCCCCCCGAGAACCCTCTTTTTCCCATCCATTTGCCTGGTTAAAGCCTATACCTCCTTCAAATGGAAGCTTCTATTTAAACTTTATTTTTATTTATTTATTTTTAATGCACAGAAGAACTGGGATGCAGGCCAGAGATGCAGGGGGTGAGAGGATTCACCAGAGACAGAGTGGAGAGTAGAACAGGCAGGTCTACTTAATTACACTTCTAAGGGGCACAGCAGGTAAGAGAGAAGAGGTCTGCTGCACCATATGTGGGGTAGCTCCCTGGCTGGGGATCAAACTCAGGCCATAGCAGTAATAGCACTAAGACTCAACCCCTAGGCCACCAGGGAGGCCTTCAAATGGAAGCTTAATTGTCACGTCTCCCAGGACACTTCCCCTGAGCACCCAGAGGAGATAGAACACACCCATCCACCTGGGGACATGTATCTCATGTGGTCAGTGTTTTGCCCATTTTCCCTGCTGGAATGTGAGCTTCACTAGAGGGAGGCTTTTGTACTTTACTTTCATATTTATTCCCTAGTAAATGGCAAAGAATGAAAAAATAATTATACCAGCTGTTTGAAGAAGAGGTTAAACAGGCACTGAGAGATAGGGAGATTCTCGGGTATTTTTTGGAAAGAAGTGCTGCATGAGCAAGCTCACATAAAATATTATCCAGTGGCTCCCCACTGTTCTTGGCATAATATTCAAGACCAATATATTTCCAATAGCTAGGTTAGTGCTTGGCACACAGCAGATGCTCATTAAATATTGGATAAGTGAATGAATATTTGCCAAGAGGGCACATGGAGAAGACCTTTGTAGCAGGTTAATCTGAGCTAGGAGAGAAAAATGTGAAAAGTATCAGAATGTATTTCCAAAATTCCATGTACTTGCTAAATCCCTTTTTTACCTCAGCTCTGGGTAGCAGCAATCCCCGTCCAATTTGCTAAGAAACACAACTAAGGCACAGAGAATTTAAGTAATTCCCTTAGGGCCATACAGTTAGACAGTAGATTGTGAGCTTAGCTCAGTTCATGGGAGAAGGAAGATCATTAAGAACTCAAGATCCCTATACTCCACCCTAAATCCCAAGATCCTATTAAATAATTGAGTCTCCCCAGGGTTCTAAGCTAGGCTAGTTCATAGTCAAATATCCAGACTGGATCTCTTTCCAATCCAGTGCATGACCAGCAGGGAAAGAAAGTTGCTTTGCGCAAATGGTGCAATTCTCATGAGGGTCAGCAGGGGGAGGCAGAGCACCCCAGCTGTCCAGTCGGCTTACTTGCTGTTTTCCACAAGATAATGCACAATTTTGTCCAGGACCTTCTCAAACAATGCTGTGCGGATCCACAGGTGTTTGATGGCAAGTGGGGACAGGTTGGGCAGTTTTGGCAGCTTCCGCACATTCTCCTGGAGGCCCTGGATCTGGTTTCTCCTTCAAGATCAAGAAACGAGAATAGAGATTCACAAAAGAGAAAATCCACAGGACCAACAAATAACTGGGAAAATACTCAACTTCAGTAGGAAATGAAGGAATGGCAATTAAAGTAAAAGAGTCCATATTTCTTCTAGCCAATGGGTAAAGAGTTGAAAAAATAATAACTGGTGAGCGTGAGGATGGGGTAAAACAGAGACTGTCACACACAGTAGATGGGCAAGCCAGATTCTCATACTGATATTCTTCTCCACCTTCCCCACCCTCTCTCTGCTGGAGAGGGTGCCAATCAAGAGAAGTCTCAGATTGTAATCCCACAATGCTCCCACTGTTGAGGGCACGCTCTTTAACATGACAGGTAAGCGCTCCATGACCCTGCCCCTGGTCACCTCTCCAGTCATCTCCTTACCACTCTCCCCACCTCAACCCCATGATCCAGCCAGAGGAAAACATCTGCAGATCCCTCAAGCCACCAGGCCCTCATTTGAGTACTTCCATGAGTTTCTACCTCTACCTGGTTTCCCTTTCCACCCCATTCCCAGGCTGACCAACTTCTCACTCTAGGTCTCAGCTGAGGGATCATCTCCTACAGGAAGCCCTCTTGCATCATCCAGAACTGGGGGAGGAGCCCCTTCTCTGTGCTCCCTCAGTCACTGTTGCTTAACTTTCTGCTCGTTTTTCTGTCTTCCACTTCATGCTATGATCTTGAAAGCAGGAAGTAAGCAATTCAACTATTTTTCTAGTAAAATAGTCTACGACATGGCCAGCAAGGGCCCTCTTCATCTCGGAATCTCCAGGGCCTAGCAGAGCACCTGGCACAGAGGAAGGGGTCCGTATATGCATTCATGATTGAGCGACTGCATGAATGAATGAATGCCTCTCCCTCGCCCCCAGCATAGGCATCTCTAATTCCCCCCCGCCAAATATTATGGAAGACCTGTGGAAATTAATCTCTTTCAGATGCTCTCAGCAAGCAGCTGGGAATTTAGCAGATGGACCAGAACAAACCTGAAGACCAGGTGGCTGAGGAGTCAGATCCCAAATGGGCACTGGCAATGCCAAATCCAATGCCGTCATGCAGTTCTGGCCAGCAGCTCTGGGCTGGCCAGGCCTGGAAAGCAGGGAAAGGGCCATTTCTCATGCAATGGTATGATATGCATGGGAGAGCAGGCCTACACTGGCATGCATCTCTTCGTCCCCTTCCCTAGTTCATAACAGATATGGCAGGTTTCCATAAAGCCCTACTGAAGCTCCAAAATCCTTTACAACAGCCACTAGCACTAACTGAAGTTGAAATCTATTTGCAATCCCTGACCAGCCTCCAGGTTGGGGGTTTGTACAGCTGAGACTTTAGAGGGTGGCGCTGGGGAAGGTGCTCACATACACACACTCAGGCCATCAGCCTCCCCAGAACATATACAATCATCTGCTAAGAAGAGGAAGTGAAGCCACCTCTCCCCTTGATTGGCTGCCTCAATGTGGGGCTTAGCCAGAGCCCCTAGCATCTGGCCCATGCAGACAATGGCCATGTTAGTTTTATTAAAGTTTGGTTTTCCAGCATTTAGCACAGGGTGTGGCTCACAATTACTAATTCAATAATTGTTTCTTGGGCATTGGCCCAGATGCTGGGGCCATAATGGGGAATAACAGGTGTAATCTCTCCTCAGAGCTTAAAGTGGGGGAGATAGACAATCAAGTAAACAATAAACAGATGAGTGAATAGTTAGACAGATAACTTGGAAGAAAACAAACAGGATAATATGGAAGGAAATAGGGTGAGGGTTGGACTCTACCCCTAGTTAGGGGAAGGCCTGAGGGATGACAAGCATTGGCCATAGAAGATGAGGGTGTCAGGTCCAGCACCTCCAAAGGCCCTGGGGTGGGAGATTCTGGTGGGGTTTTGAGAAGCTGAGAATAGTAGAGTGCCAGGAGGGGTGGACTCGCACAGACTCTGGGGAGCAGCATGGCCCATCCTCCCTGGGACAGCCACAGCTTGCACCCCGTGCTCCACACTCACGCGCTCTCGATCAACTGCTCTAGGTCCTGGACCTTGCGGCTCAGCTCCTCAGCTGGCGGGAAGCTCTTGCCCACCTTCATGAAGAGAGCTGCAATCTTGTTGCTGCGCAGGAAGCCCGCCGCCCGCCGCCGCAGCCCGTGCAGGACACAGGCCTCCACAGCAGCTGTGGAGACACAAGGGTCAGTAGGCCTGCCCTGCCCATGCTCCTACCGCCCAGCTCAGAGCTTCAGTCACACACTGGCACCCTGGAGATCCAGGGACCCCTGAACTAAATTCCAGACCACATCACAAAGGAAGGTGTGTATGCACCTCTACCTACCACCCCCTTGCAAGGGAGGAAGGTTAAATCGTACTTGCCACCCAAGGCCAGACCATCGCCCAGTCAACAGCCAGCTGGGTGACATGGCCAATCACTTCCTCTTCCAGTTCCTCAGGTTCCTCATCTCCTATTACTTGTAAGCAATAGGAGTATAATTAATGTTTATCTGTAAAACAGGGACAGTATAACCACTAACCTCATAAGGTTGATAATAGAATAAGGTGGAAAATGCATGGAAAGCATGTGGCACAAGCCCTGGCATGCAGTGACAGCTTTCTGAAGGGCAGCCATGACTCCTGTCACCGGGGGAGGGGAGACTGGGCCATGGGACTCTCCAGGCTTATCTTCATCATCTTCATTCCTATTATGAGTCCAGTAACAGTTGAGATGTATGGATCTTATTCATTCTCCACCCCAGCCAGGGAAGGAAGGGGTGACATCCCCATTTTTCATATGTGGAAACTGAGTCTCCAAGAGGTGAACAGAAATGTTTGGGGTCATCTAGCAATAAGAGATGGAGCTAGGATTCAAACCCAGGTCTGTGCCCAAGTGTTCATAACACTTGTGTTCCACAAAGGATGTTTGAAGGGAGGATTCTGCCATTATTTCCCATTCTGTATTTCCCATGGGCACTGTCAAGTTTTCCCCAAACAGGACAACTGAGGTATGGCCTGGGTTCTCCAACTAACTTGCTGTGACCTCAAACAAATCACTTTCCCTCTCTGGGCCTCAGTGAGGGCCCCTTCTCAGAAAAGGACTTTGTGCAGGCCATTCTGATGGCCCTTATGTTATTCATGGTACTTTTAGAGCCCTCTACTAAGCTTATTCTTACCTCCTGTCACAGACAGCAGACTGGGAGCTCACCCATATGCAATAGGAGTAAGTCAAGGTTTACCAAAAAACGAGTATCCAATAAGAGTGACTCCTTAGTGGGCACCTGCTGTTGTCCAACAAGAGTTAAGGTGGACTTTACCTAATCCTGTGACAAAACCCATGAAGTGAGTGTTCTAATCATTGTCACTTCACTGGAGAGTAAACTAGCACTCTGAGGTTAAGAGCCTGGCCAAGCTTATGTGATATGTGAGGAGAAATATTGAGACGTTTGGTTGAATTGCTTGCTTTTGTTGTTAGAAATTACTTGGTTTTAAATGAATGTCCACATAGTACCTTAAACTGCCCATGCATTTAAAAGACCCTGGGGGAGGACTTCTTAGATACTTTCATTGTGGAGAACATGCATAGTCCTTTTCATTTGTTTATGCAGAAAGAAGTTAATTATCTACCCCAGCCTTGTGGACCTGGTTCAAGTCCTTCTGACAACAGTGCGTAAGGAACAATGGATAGAAGAAACCTCAGGGAGATTGGCCTCATTTAGTGCCATCAAATTTCTCTCACCCAAAAACTTTGATCGGAGTTAGAGAATTATGATTTTTACCACTTCCTGTGCCTTTAAGTCTTTAATTGGACATGCATATCATTTTATTTGCAAATAAATATGTCCAGAATCAAAAAAACTGGAGAAAAATTTTATAGATATCTATATTCTCATATAAATGTGTATGTGTGCATAAATGTGTTATGTATATAACATATATTTGATGACTATATATGTATACATATATACACACAATACACTTAAAAATAAGATCTCATCCAGGTCACCCAATAAAGAAGTGGCAGAGGTGGGGTTTGAAGAGAGATGACTACAAAGGGATTGAACTGATCCCTGGCCTCCCAGGTCACGTCATGTGCTCTGCATGGGGGGCCCTGGGTGGTGGAGGGCTGATAGTTTGCTCTCATCTCCTCACTCAGGCTTCTTCACAGGAGCAAGATTACCAGAAGGGAATTATAGCAGGACCTTTGTTATGTAATTCCAATCATCAAATAAAGTTTTCAAAGAGACAGGGCCTCCCTGATGGCCTAGGGGTTAAGTCTCAGCGCTATCATGCTATTGCCACTGCACCCTGAGTTCAATTCCTGGCCAGGGAGCTACCCACATGGCACAGCAGAACTCTCCTGTCTTACCTGCTCCTCCCCTCAGCAGTGTATTTCAGTAGGTCTGCCTGTTCTGCTCCCTACTTTATTTTTTGGTGAATCCTCTCACTCCCCTCACACACACCTCTGGCCCAGTTCTTCCACACAAAAATAAATAAAATCTTTCAAAAATTAAAAATAAAGTTTTCAAAGAGAAACACTCCCACTTAACATGGGTTCCTATGAGTTTGCTACTAGCTGGCCACTCATGGGCAACTGTGACCTATTTGCTATCTGCAAATCACAGCAGAGCATTCCTTGACTACCTACGGAGCATAGCCCATATCATGAGGCAGGCCCAGGGACGCCTAGGCAGCTGCTGAGCTGATTACGTGACTACCTCCATGGTGGTCTCGGGATAACTCTGCCTGTGATAACATGGAATACTTTGCTGACGTAAATGGCTCTTGACGTGTGCTCACAATGTCTCCCTCCCTGTCCCTCATAAAACTTTGTCCCCCATTCCAATCCCACATTCTGGACTTGATTCCTCATACCATTGTCACATGATCAGCTTTTACCAGCCTGCATGCTTTCAATAAATGGCGCAAGAACTTCTGCTCAAGTAGCAGAGTCTTGCCTTGCAAACCTGCTCCACGACTGTTGTGTCCGTCATTGGCATCTCACCGTAAGCAGCAACAAAGTTCCTGTCATGACCACTTAAGTGCACACACTGATTACAAACGGAATCCTGACCTCAGGAACACACAAAACACATGTCTCCAGCTGCTGTGAAAGTACAGTGAGAGCCGGGCAGCCGGGGTATTTGTGGAACCCTGTGAGCAGAGCTGGTTCAAGGGGAGAAGTCTGAGTTATGCTTCAAGTCCTGGGCCTGCCTCTTTTGCCCAGCCGGCTGGACATGACCCCTCAGGAGGTGTCAATGGTTGTTAATCCCCTATATTTATTAAGGTCCCCACCCATATTCCCTTTTACCTAGCAACAACCCTAGGCAGAGTAAGGGAAGGAGGTAAAGCCTATTTCTCAGAGGCAGGCCCATTTGGCACTGGCAATGTGGGTGGGTGTGAATGGAGTCCACAGGTGGGAAGGTGGAATCTTCAGTGTAAACCACAATCCCCCTTTTCTGGGGTCACAACTCCTTCTTAATTTCTTCTCTAGACTTTCCTTTATTTTCAAATTCACTAATGGCATCCCTTGAGAATCCAAAAAAATAACACTGGGTTTACAAAGCCAAAAAATGCTAAGGAAACCTGGCTCAAAGACACTGCTTCCCACGAAAGAGGCAGCCACAGAGAAAAGCCAGTTTTCAAGGCCCTGGGCCATGGACTCACCACAGAAGGAGATGATGTGGCTGCTGTCTTCGTGGACAAACTTCCGCGTGACAGCCTCCTCCATGATCTGCTTTACCTGGAAGACAGAGGCAGTGGAGTGGGAGACCCAAGTGGAACCCAGGGCATGGACACTCCACAGGGCTGCACAGATTCCCAGGATCTTCTCAGGGGGGTTGGGATACTTTGATAACTGTTTTCCTTCCATACCCTCCTCACTGAGTCTTCCCTGGGAGGCCTGTGCCTGAGCCGGCTCCACACTACACATTTTACTTTATACCATCTCAGGCGCTGCAAGGTGGGCTGCTTCTCAGGAGTCTCTGACCACATTATCTAAGGCACTGCCCCCTCTATCCACATTTAAGGCACTTCCCCCCATACCAGGTCCCCCTGTTAGAGTCCTTACAGCTATTTCTTGCCTATTGCTTACTGTCTTCCTCGTCTAGAATATAAGCTCCCTATGTCTTGTTCACTGCTGTGTCCATGGAGACTAAACAGTGCCTGGTGCATGGTAGGTGCTAAATAGCTACTTTCTAAAGATATAGATGAATGAATGAGTGCAAAAGGTATATAAAATAATCAGGAGGGCGAAGTGTGAAAAATCAGTCCTGGAGTCTGGTACACCTGTATTCAAATCCCTGCTCAGGTACCTGCCAGCTGGATTTGTGATCTTATACTGGAAAACAGAGGCTCATTGGGGTGAAGCAACTTGCCCAGAGAGCAGAGTGAGACCAGAGTGTAGGTGGAATTCCAGCTGGTCTGACTGTGCAGGCTGGGAGCTCTTGTTGTCACGCTCGCACCAACAAGTGTTTCACGTGCCAGCCATGGGGACAGTGTGAAAGGACAGCTGTGCCTCGACTCATGGAGATAATCCTCTGTTGGCCTGAACACCCTTCTGCTTGCTAGATTCAGGGATCCACTCTGCCCAGAGTCATGCTGTTCAAGAGTTTCTCCCCTCTGTGCCTCAGTTTCCCCAACTTGAGTTTGAGACATCTCAAAGGCCACTCCCAACCTACATCACCAAGGCTGTAACATACGGATGAAAAGAGTAAAGATGAGAATCCTCCCACCCAGCCAAAAGGCCCCTACTGCTTTGCCAGTTGCCCTGTGGCTCACCCAGCTTCATGCAGGTGGGCATGTCAATGCACCCTACTGAGAGCAACCTCAGGCTCTACTGAATAAACATTCTTCTCTCCTTCCCTTTGATTGTCTCCCAGAGGGAAAGACAGAACTCTGAATGTCCCTGACCATGTTTTCTGGAAAAACATACGGCACTGCCCTAGAGCTGGCACACCAGCCTGGCCACACAACTAAGTCAGCACCAGCCCCACGGACAGCTCCCAAACCCAGCTCACCAACCTTCAAGCTGGGCTTTGCCAGCGGCATTTCTAGATCCAAAAAATGTCTCCTCAGGCCCACGGAATTAACCCCATTTAAAGACGTGGAAGCTAGGAGGCAGCAGAGCTATAATCTCAACTGAAAACAGGTTTTTTCCATCTTGGCTCCAGATGCCATATTCTGTTCCCTCCAGCTAATGGCTGTTTCCTCAAATCTCATCATGTTTCTGAATCTTAGTTTTCTCACTGGTTAAAGGGTTTGTAGGAAAAGCACCTGCCCAAAGAAGCTATGGGAGGACCCAATAAGGAAACGTATGCCGTGTGCTGAGCACAACGCCTGGTGCTGTGTGCCGGTAATGTTAGCTGTGTGTAGGTCATCACCCTTCCCAAAACCTCACCCGCCCTTCTTTTAGTTATTCTGACCCTAGTGGAAACATTTTCCATTCAGGATATTCAACTCTCCTGCTTGGGTTCCCATAGTGACTCCTTTTGCCACCCATAAGATTTATAATGATTTCATCAGCACCTGTCCTCCCTGCTGGCTGTGGACCTCGTGGGGGTGAGCACTCTATATCTCCCTGTTTTATATGCTCAATGAGGTTCTGTTTAAATGTCAATGTCTTGAAGCATCAAACACCAAGGCCTGGACATCCTTTAGAATCAGCGGGGCAGAGGGAGTGGGCTGAGGCTGAGCAATGATGGCTGCAGGCTGTTAGGGAGGCATGGGGGGAGGGCATCCAGGTAGTTGGGTCAGGAGTACATTCAAAGAAGCACAATGGTTAATTAGGAGTTAAGAATTTGGGGCCAGAAAGGTCTGCATTCACAACCTGGCTCAGTCACACAATAATTGTAGGTACTAGATGCCTTTATCTAGTACCAACTTATAAAGAGTCAGTAAAACCTGCTGGCTCTATCATCAAAAAATATCCTGCATGTACTTCCCTGGACCAAATGACCCTTTTCCACAGTCATGTCTCTCCTGGAACTGTCCTGAAATCTGCAAGGGAGAGATTTTAGTCACACCTCCTATGAGGGACACTCCCCACACAGCCATCCCTCTGGGTCGCTTCTCCCTCCCACCCCTGTTGTGTTTGGAGTTAACAGATCTGGTCCTTGGTTCCCCACTGCCAGCAGCCATGGGGTGTGCATCCTCCCAGCCCCCTTGGTCACCAGCCCCTTTATTAAATTCACCTTAATGTACTTAGTTTGCAGGAACCATCTGTTTCCTACGGGCGCTCTGACTGTACACGCACATTGTCTCAAGTTCAAACTGCAGAGTGGAGGAGGTCGTCTGTTTACAGCTTTGGGTCCTGGAACTCAGAAGCGGAGCCCCTCTCCCAAGGTCACACAGCCCTGAGACAGGCTGCAGGTTGGCTTCAGGCCTTTTGTATTGGGGATGGATTCTGAGCCGGAGTGGCTGGTGGTGGAGGTAGGAATGTGGCACCAAGAGTATAGTTCTGGGCCTGAGGGAGGCGCTCCAGCAAATGAGGACTTCTCCCTGCCTCCTGGCTCCCAGCCGTGAGCTCCCAGCTGCGGGTGAGAACATCTCCCCAGAAGTTAATAACAGGCTGACAGTGGAGGCCAAGAGAGGAAATGACAAAGGCAATGGGGTGGGAGCCCCCCAGCAGGTCTGTGGCAGCAGAGGCATTGTCTGCTGAAGGAACAGAGGCTGCTGCCCACTCATGAGAGAAGGGACCCACCCCAGGGTCACACTTCTCACGGGCAGGGCATGTGGCCAGGCAGCCACAGGAGGCCGCTGGGATTCCACCCAGCTACCCTCCCCATCTCAGGTTCCCAGACACGGGCGTGGGCTTGGTTCACTCTGCAGGTCAACAGACTGGAAGGACCCCTAGGTGGACTGGAAATGATGGCATCCTGGCTTACGCAGCCTGTGTGTTTTTCTTAGCGGGGGCCCAGGGATCATGCAGTATGACTGGGCAGCATGGTGGGACGACCTCAGAGCCTCACAGACCTGCAGTCCCAGCTTGGCCCACACATCCTGTGTGAGTCTAGTCAGGCCCTTTTGGGAGCCTCAGTTTCCTCTCCTATAAAATGGAGCCAGTCATCCTACAGGGCTGTGGTAAGGCTTAAATATGTTGCAATTTGTGACAGGGCAGGCCAGGGTGGAACATAGTAGGGGCTTCAAAGTGCTAAAACTCACCTCCGCTTTTCTTTGGGCACTGACAACAACCCTAATGTGGTAGGCTATCAAATAATTCCCAATTTACAATGAGGGAAACGAGGCACAAAGAGATCAGGTCAGACAGAAGGCATGGGATTCAAACCCAAGGGTTTGTTCTAACAAATACTTTCACAGCAGAACCTGGAGGTCATTTTGAATCAAAGCTTCTGCTATTACCCAGTTTTGAGTAAGAGAGAAAGTTTATTGAGCATCTACTATGTGCAGGTGCTTTGTGTAGAATACCTTATTTAACCCCTACAAGAGCATTAATTATTAGCCCCATTTTAGAAATGGATGAACTCAGGCTCAGGGTTTATGTAATTGTCCCTAAGTCACACAACAGGAAGGGGCACAGTCAGAACTTGAACCCAGGACTATCTGACTTACAGCTCCCTCGCCAGCCCAGTGCTGGGCCAGACCCTCTGAAATCCCAGGGTGCTGAGAAACCTGGGAGAAGGAATTCCATAGTCTCTCCCAACTTGGGGACTGAGAGCAGCAACAAACTGGGGGGTCAAAAGCAACAAACTGAGAGCAGCAACAAACTGGGTGGCCTGGATGTGACTGCTAACCATCCCCTGTGGAGGCCTTTCAGGTAGACCTCAAAGGTGTTAGTGGTCAGGAAGCTTCTATCTCTTCTGTGGAGCCCTCCAACCTCTGCTTGCATTCCTCCAGTGATCAGGTGCTCACTCCTTTTGGAACCAGCTTATAAGGCCCAGAACATGGAGTCACCAACTTGGGGTAGAATCTCTGGCTACTCACTATCTGCACAATGCTGGACACATTTCTGTCTGTATATGGGCTGTGGCACTGCCTAACCCTTGGTGTCAGGCCTCTTGAGCACTTGCCCACGCCACCTCCAGTTCCACCCTGCAACCATTCAGAAACCAGTCTTGCCTTCCCGACTTCCCTCCATCTGCAAATATTTAAACAGCATAAAAGGAGGATTAGTGTCAGGGGATTGGTGCAGGGAAATCCCAGCCCACTGCAAAGTCAGAAGGGGAGCTCCTGTCTTCTCCCCTCCTCACACTAGCTGCCTACCCCTGGTTTAAAGCACCCAGCACAGTGCCTGCTGCACACAGTAGGCCTAAATAAAAACGACCTGAGCAGCCACCTGCTCTTCTGAGGCTGCTGCCTCAGTCCTGACTCACAGGCACCTTGGGGACAGTGGAGGTGGGTGAGTGATGCTGAGCCAGCTCCTCTCAGGAGGGGGAGTCCCCCAGGCAGCCTGATGTTAGTCTGTAAAGAAGGGGACAGCTAAATGACAGTGCCTGGAGGGTATTCAGAGCAGCTTTAAAAATAACTCTCAGCATGTGGGGAAGTGGGGGGAGTGTGGGGGAGTGACTCAAAGGCCCCTGGACAACCAGTGGGGCTAGCAGGTGAGTGGAGGACAGGCTGTTGTCACTCTGCTTCCTTGCAGGCACCTTGGATGCTGTGGACAAGATGCAGACCATTCAGCAGACCATCATGTCCAGCTCTGCCTGGGACCACTGACCCTCAGATTCGGGTCCCCACATCTATGTCTGCGCTCGCTTGGTGCCACCTGCCAAGTGCCCTCCCTGC